TTGTTCTGTTTCTTCTTTCACAACATGACTAAATGTGGAAATATATTTGACATGATTGCGCATGTATAACCTATATCAGATTGCCTGCTGTCTTGGGGAGAGGAGATGGGAGGGAGAAAAATTTGAAACTCAAAATCTTATGAAAAATGAATGTTGAAAACTATCTTTACATGTAATTGGAAAAAATTTTTTAAAGATTTTAAAAAATAAAAAAGGAAAACAAAAGAGAAGAAGCGTGCTAGGCCTGAAATTGTTTCCCAATCAGAATCTACTTCAGACTGGTCAGATGTTCACATTCTTTCCTTTGGGCAGTGTGGCTCACTCTCCCGATTCAGCAGTTTTTCTTAGAAGGGGGAAGGGAGGGAGAAAAAGACAGAAGAAAGAGGAATCTGCTCTTCAAAGTTCAATAGATCTTAAGCAACTTTTGTAATAGAAGTTTTACCAAGAAGCAAAAAATTTGTTTCAGATGTGTCATTGTTTAGCCAGGTCTTAGAACACAGAATCACTAGACTCACTTGTCTGAACTCAGAAAGACAGAGATGTCTCCTAGCTGTCAGGCACCCGGCATGTGGCTGCCTGGGATTTTTAACAAAAACTTCTTTTCCAAACCAAAGTAACACAATTGACAAAGTGCCAGATGCTGCTATCCAAGGACCCCTAAGGTAACTTGGGCCGCAGGGGTATCTAGTCAACAGGCTTGGCTCCACTGAACGTTGCATTTGAAGCTAAAATGTAATGAATTACATAATTAAATTAACACATATCTCAAATACATACAAAAAATGCTAATCATGGGGTTCCACAATCAAAAAATAAAAAAAACCAACATGGTTTTCCAAGGGAGGGACAAGTGGGTGAGCTAGGTCCGGCTCAAATAGGCTGTTGAGAGCCAATTGTTAAATTTTCAGTGTGAATATTTTAGAGGCATAAGCCTCTAAAATCAGCAAATGCTACAAATCATCGCTTGATTTATTGTTTCATTGGCTGCCCAGGCTTAATAAAGTGATGGAGAAAATGTTCATAATAACGCAGATTAAATTTTAAAATGTGTTTTGGATATAGGTGTGGTTTGGGGGGGGAGCTGATTGTTAAACATTGGTCAGCACAAGCCAGGGAGGTAGGAGGGGAGAGAGGGAGGAAGAAAAGGAGGGAAGGAGAGAGAGAGAGAGAGAGAGAGAGAGAGAGAGAGAGAGAGAGAGAGAGAGAGAGAGAGAGAGCGCATTTATTAAGTACTTACTCGGTGCCCAAGTACATTGCTAAGTGCTAGAGGTAAAAATACAAGCAAAAAGCTGGTTCCTAGCTTCAAAGAGCTTAAGTTCTGATGGGCAATGAGAACACATAAAGGGCAGCTGGAACATCATGGGAAGGACACCCTGAGGGGGCAAGGCTGCTTGTAATGAAAAGAAGCCTCAGAGTGAGGTGATACCCTCTCTATCTAGCCTCTTAAGCAATGTGAAATTCCCTGGAGGAGGTAAGTTCCTTGTGAAGCTGTAAATTCTCCTTGTCCAGGAATTGCCCAGATGAATGAAGGAAACAAGTCTCTCCGAAGTCCTTTATAAATATTATCTCATGTGATCCTCCCACCATCCCCGGGGAGAGAGGTGCTGTGGTTACTATTATCCCCATTTCACAGTTGGGGAAACTGAGGCAGAAGTGAAATGACTTGGCCGGAGTCACACAGCTACTAAGTGTCTGAGTTCACATTTGAACTCAGGTCTTCCTGAGGCCATGTCCAGCTCTATCCACCCAGCTGCCAAGCCACTCCCTGGGTGGTCCAGGGAGCTCTCTAAGCCTGGAGGCTGAAAAGGTGAGGTTGCTCCTTCAGTGTTAGGTTTCTGTACCCATTGGGAGATATCACAGGCTCAGCCCTTCCTTTCCCCGAAGGCCCTGCTCTCCCCCCCCAAAAAAAAATTGTCTTGCCAAAACCACCTACATTTTAGAGAGGAGGGGAGAGGAAGGAGGGAGTCGCTGGCTGCTTCCTCCTCAGGAAGGGCTTTGGAAACCTGAAACTCTCCCCCTCCCCACCATGTGACTCTGGTGGCTTGGACCCAAACGACTTCCCTGTTTGTGTACCCTGGCTCGTCTTGGGATGAGCCTGGAGTTCAAACAGCCCAAGGGGGAAGGGGCTGTGGCAGAGGCCACCTTCCTCCTCACCTCGCATCGAGGACTGCCTGAGCCCTGGCAGGAACCCTGGCCCAAAGAGAAAAGCTAACCTGTCCTGCGTCCCTCCTACCCTCCCTCCCTCCCTCCCTCCCTCCCTCCCTCACCATCTCCCACAGTTGAACCAGACTGAGTCAGCCACCGGAGGCTTCCAGCCCTTGTTCATTGACAGGCTCAGACTGGCTAACAGAACGTGGCCAGTAAAGGGAGGTGCTGAGCAGTGATCAAACAGTAACTTGGACTGATCAGAGACTTTTCTGCAGGCTGAGGGTCATGGACTGTAAGGGAGAGGCTTCTGCAGACCCTTCGGGGAAGACCTGGGAATTTTTAGAAAAGTGGGGGTGGTGTGTACCCATCACCTGGGAATGACTGACTGAGTTAGGGTAGCTGTGTGACCCTGGACAAATCGCTGAACCTTTCCCAGCCTCAGTTTCTTCATCTGTAAGATGGGGATAATAATAGCAGCTACCTCACAGGGCTATTGTGAAGCTCCCACGTGATGGTGTTTGTGAATCACTCTGCAAACTTTCGATGAATGTGATGGATGTATATGACTGACGGACACTCAGCTGGGTGTGGGGGTGGCAGTTAACCAGGGAAGGATGTCAGGAAAGGGGGAGCAGGTGTGTTGAGTACTTTACAAAACAGTTCAGGGATGTAGTCACAAAACAGGGGACTTAACTTGCAGCATTCAAAGATATGGGGACACTTACTAGCTGTGTAACCCTGGGCAAGTCACTTGACCCCATTGCCCAGCCACACAAAAAAGAAAAAAAAATAGACAAAGATATGGACACAAACCATAGGGATTAGTCAAGTACACAGAAAATAACAAGGTTTTCCTGTCAACAGATAGAGCCCACCTATTACTGGGCAGATTTCGATTTAGGCAAGGCTTTCATTGTGGCTGAGCAGAAGTCAGCCTCATCACTGTCTCTTGGCAGAGAGGTGGTGGACCAGGGGTGCTGAGTGAGATATACCTAGCTAACATGCTGTCAGATTTTGCTTGGCTGTATTTAAATTACAATGGGGGATGAATTAGTGGGTAGTGACTGAGATATGGGGGGAAAAAACAACAATAAAACATTTTAAAAAATATATTGAATTAAAAGTTCAGAAGGAGGCGCAATTTTGTTACTACCTTGTTAAATTTAATGTGCTTTAAAAAAAACCATAACAGAAGTTCATATATGGTTGTTTTTATTCTTTGGATGCCAAGTGCTTGTAGTTGTTGGTAATTATTAAGTTCAGAGGATGCTGAGTGAAGTGAGCAGAACCAGGTGAACATTGTACATAGTAACAGCAACACTGTGCGATGATCAATTTTAATAGACTTGGCTCTTTGCAGCAATACAAGGATCTAAGACAACTCCAAAATGATGGACAATGCTCTTCACATCCAGAGAAAGAACTGTGGAGCTGAATGCTGATCAAAGCATTTTTTTTCTTTCTTTCTCGTGGGTTTTTCCCTTTTGTTCTGATTCTTCTTTCACAACATGACTGATGTGGAATTACGTTTAATATGATCGTACATGTATAACCTGTATCAGATTGCTTGCTGTCTTGGGGAAGGGGGAGGGGAGCAAGAAAAAATAATTGGAATTCAAAATCTTATAAAAATCAATGCTGAAGACTAAAAAAACTAAATAAATACATTTTATTAAAAATCATTAAGTTCATAATGAAGAAAACTGAAATTAGACATTCCAGGGACCTGGGGTTTAAAAGGGCTTTTTCCTTTTAAAACCTTTCCCTCACCCAGGTAGGGGCTCCCTGGGGCACTTCTAGCCTTCTGTTTAGTCTCTCCTCAGGCGAGGGATTCCAGTTCCAACTGAGAAGTAGTTATTAAGCACCTACTGTGTTCAAGGCTCTGGGTTGGGCTGTGGAAATATATAGGGGGAGAAAAAAATTCCAGCCCTCAATTCTAATGGGAAGGGTATACAAGATGTACATAGAGACGCATAACTACAGTCATTTGAGGGGAAAGACAGCATTGACATCCTTGGAGGGGGGCAAGGATCAAAAAAGGTACCTGGAGCTGAGCCCTGAAGGATGCTGTAGGATCTTAATGGTTGAAGGGGGACCACAGAGATGGCAACGTTCCATCTGCCAGCGCATTGGCTGGCCATCGTGGCTAGAACAAAGAGTAGGTGAAATGTGCAATGACTAATGTGAAAATATGTTTAATAGGAATGTATGTGTATAGCCTATATCAGATTGTGTGCCGTCTTGCCGAGGGTGGTGGGGAGGAAGGGGGAGAAAAATTTAAAACTCAAAATCATATGGAAGTGATTGTTGATAAATCAAAATAAAATAATAAAAAAACTAAACTAAAAAAAAAAGAAATGTGCAATGATGAACAACGGGCAATAAGCCAGACTCCGGAGAGCTTTAAATGCCAAGCTGAGGACTTCTTGCAGAGGCATCAAGATGCTGCAGTGGACAGAGAGCTGGGTCTCAAGTTAGGAAGACCTGACTTCAAATCTGGCCCAGACCCTTATTTACTAGCTGTGTGATTGTGGACAAGTCACTTAACTGCTATCTACCTCAGTTTCCTCATCTGTAAAATGAAGATAATAGTAGCACCAGCCTCCCAGGGTTGATGTGAGGATCAAATGAGATAATATTTGTAAGGCCCTTTGTAAACCTTAATTTGTTGTTATTGTCATTCGGTCGTCTCAGTCATGTCCAACTTTTCATGACCCCATTTGAGGCAAAGACACTGGAGTGGTTTGCCATTTCCTTCTCCAGCTATTTGACAGATGAGGAAACTGAGGCAAACAGCATTAAGTGATTTGCCCAGGGTCACACAGCTACTAAGTGTCTGAGGCCAGATTTGAACTCATCAGAAAGATGAGTCTTCCTGACTCAAGGCCTGGTGCTCTATCCATGGTGCCACCTAGCTGCCCCTAAACCTTAAATCATTGCATAAAAGTTGGCTATTATCATTTTATCTTAGAGGCAATAGGACCTCTCTGTCTTCTGCCACCAGGCAATTTAGTGTGGACCCAAGGGCAAGCTGGCCTGCTGGCCTTTTTCCCAGAGGAATAATGATGGCATTATCTTTGTGCCCTGAGAAGCAGCTCAACAGAACAGAGAGCATTAGACTTCCCTGTTTAGGTTCTAATCTGGTTCAGTCACTGACTAGCTGTGTGACCTTGGGCAAGTAACTAGCCCTCTCTGAGCTTCATTATTTTCCTCCATAAAATGAGGGCACTGGATTAGATGACCCAAGGTTCTTTCCAGTGTTGAGTCCAGTGAGGACCTCCCAGCTCAGGTTTGGTTCTCCGTGTCCGTTCTGTCCATCTTCGCTGATGTCAACACTGGCATTGTTGAGATGGCTTTTTTCTCCGCTGGTTTTGGGGAGGCTGAGCTCCGTGAATGACCTTGACTCCCCCCCCAGGTTCCATCCACTTTGATCTCCCCATTTTGGAGGGCCTGCTGGATGTCGTGGGTGAGGGTCTCGAAGGCCAGAGCCACATTACTGTTGGTCTTGGCTGAGGTCTCCAGGAAAGATGTGCCCAAAACCGCAGCTAAATGTTCTGCTTCCTGCGTTGACACCTGCCGAGCCTGCTGCAGGTCACTCTTGTGGCCAAGCAACACGTAAAGAACCTTGTACTGGACTTGCATGGATGCCACCTGCTGGTACCAGTCTTCTATGTGGTCAAAGGACGTCCTGTTGGTCACATCAAAGACCAGCAGGACACCCGCCATATTCCGGTAGAAGGACCGAGTTATGCTCCTGCAAGTTAGGGGGAAGGAAGAGGCAGAGGCAGATGAGGCCCAGTACCCCAGATTTACTATCAAAGGAGAAAAGAAAACTCCTAAGCTAAGATTTATGTCTCAATGAGCCAGTCCTCTGAAAGACCAGTGATGAAAATCTCCTCTTCTTGCTGGCATTGTAAGGTGAGACCTGGATTTCTGAGGACCCAGCTGACAGATGCAGGCTTCCCCAAAATACACTAACCCCCAGCTCCTCCCAAACCGGGCCCCTTTGCCTACAGTCTCTAGTTACCCCGTCATCTTCCACAGCTCCCCATAAACCCATACCCATACATCTGAAAAGGAGCCCCAGTGATGGGCCCAGACACAACTGAAAAGGATTTCAGAGGCCATCAAGGACAAGATCATTGGTGAGAACCTCCAAGGCCATCTTGCCCAATTCTCTCATTCTACAGATGAGGAGACTGAAGGGGAAGTGGTTTGCCCGAGGTCACACTGCTAATAACCCCAAGAGACAGAATTGGAATCCAGGAACTCTGGCAGTAAATCCAGGACTGTTTCCCCTGAGATAAAGTTTGCATGGCCTTCTTCACAGGGTTGTAAGGTAAAATGAAAGCAGGGATTTTTTTTGGTCTTGTTTTTATGTCTATATTACCAGAACCTAACACAAGGCAGGGAATATAGTAGGCACTTAATAAACGCCTGTTGGAGTGTGAGGAAATCAAATGAAAAGACCTAAAACACTATAGAAAAGCTTGATCATTCTTAATTTGGTCTCGGGATACCTGGGCTTCACTTTCTTCATCTGTGAAATGGGGAGATCACATCCAGCTCTCTATCTGGAATCCACTCCCATCTCACCTCTCAGCAGCCACTTCCAATTTCCGGACCTCCCATTATGGAGCTGGAGGCTCAAGGCAGCTTGCCCAAGGACACACGGAAAAGCAGGGGCAGAATTCGAACGTCCCACTAACCATTCCGACTGCTTTAGCAGCAAAGGTCCGGGGTTAGAATCCGGCTCTGCCCCTCATTATCAGTGTACCCTCGGACATAAGTCACTCCCTCTCCCTGACACTTAAGATTTCCTAGCTTGGTTAGGTGGTCCTTAGGGTCCCTTCCGGCTCTAAGTGACCCCACTCCAGTAGCAACACCCAACCCCGCCCTCACTCTATTCTCCAGCCCGTCTCTGCTCCCTCAGACCTGTAGCGTTCGGCTCCTGCCGTGTCCCACAGCTGCAGCTTGACCCTCAGACCCGAGGCCAGCTCCAACATACGGCAGTAGAACTCGACGCCCACGGTGGAGCTGGGGGGCTGATCATCCCAAAAGTCTCCCTCCAGGTAGCGAAGCAGCAGCGAAGTCTTGCCCACCTCCGCGTCCCCCAGCAGCAAGATGCGGAACTGGAGCTGGCTGGACGCGAGCTGGTATTCCCCGGCCATCGGGAATCAGAGCTGTGTGGCACTGCCCTGCCGACGGGGCGGACGGAGAGAGCCGCTGAATCAGGCAGACCGGAGCGGAGCCTTTCTGGGCTTCAAGCTGAACCAGGGACCGACAGGGAGGACTGGAGGGGAGCCTCTTAAACGCAGGGTGCTGGAGGAACCTGGAGCTGCGGACGGGGCTGACCAACGATAGACTGGGCGGACCGGAGCAGAGGCTCAGAGGGTGGAACCCACGTTAAGGGGGAGGAGAGTCGAGAGGAGCAGCTGAAGCTGCCTGAGCCACCTGGGGGAACAGAGGACAGAGAAGGGCGAGGGAAACCGCCTGGGGCAGCTGGAGTCTAGTGAGAGCTGAAGCAGAGACTCTCGGATTTATGAGACCTCGGCCCCGCCCCAGGGCCCTCCCTCAGCTCCGGCCAGGCGTCCCCTCCTGCTCTTCCTCCTCCTGGGTAATATTTCCCAGAGCGTTCTTGGAGATCATACAATCCAACACACTCATTTTACAGGTAGAGAATTAATCAGTTAATCAACACGCATTTTATTAGGGTCCCCGGGCGATACAAACACCAAAATGACACAGTCCCTCCTCTCAGGAAAGCCCCAGACGACCTCTGAGGTCCTTTCCAGATCTGTGAATGGAGGAGCTTCTAAGAGTGACCCGGGCTCCACCAGCTGGAGGATATAGAAGACAAAGTTGAAATATACCCCAGCCTCTAAGAGCTTAAAGAGGAACGCAACATTTCTTAGATATTTACAAAACCCATACAAAATAGAAGCCTGACTGAGATGGACAACCTCAGCTGGCTGGACGACCCGCAGGAGGGGGAAGCAATTCAAAACCTTCTGGTTTTTTCTGCCTTTCCCAGTCCCGCTTAGCGCTAGTGCCCGCCCTCTGTTAATTATCTCCATTTGAGCCTGTCAGTATCTTATTTGTACAAAGCTATTTGCATGTTGCCTCCCTCTTAGATTGTATACTTCTTGAGAGGAGGGATTGAGTTTTGCCTTTCTTTATACCCCCACTGCTTAGAATAATGCCTGGCACATAGTAGGTGCTTAATAAATGCTTGTTGACTATTAGCTGCCAGGCATGCCCAAGGTAATCCACCATGACCTAAGTGAAGGACCTGGGGGTCTCTACCCTCAGTTGCTTCTCTTTGAAGCATTTAAAAGCATTCTTCATGACCCTTTATTCTTTTCTTTTTCTGCACGACTACCCCATCCCTACCTCCCACCTCCCTTCTCTTCTTCACTCCATCTGGGAAAAAGAAAAAAAAGAAAAACCGGATCTTTGTAACAAATATGGATAATCAGGCAAAACAGATGCCTACATTAGCCATGTCCAGAAATACATATTTTATTCTGCATTTTGAGTCCTTCACCTCTCTGTCAGGAAGTGGCTAGCATGTTTCATCACTGGTCCTCTGAGATTGTGACTGGTCAACCTTCCTAAGTCTTTCAAAGTTGCCTTTCTTTACAATGTTATTATTAATGAATAAATGCTCTTCTGGCTCTGCTCACTTCACTGTGAACAAATTCATGTAAGCCTTCCCAGATTTCTCTAAAACCATTCTCTTCATCATTCCAAGACTGTATTTCTCCCTAGCCTCAAAACACTATTCCTGACAGTTCTCCCCCAAGCCCAAAGACCCCATCTCAGTCAATAACTCATGAGTGGGCGGGCCCCAGCGAGTTAAACTATCCCACTATCTCTCCCTGTTACAAGAACAAGCTGACTTCTGTAGAATTTCCCTTGCACTATCTTTTATCAACAAAATTATCATGCACTGATTCCCACAGTTATTGCACACAATCCAGAGGTCAAGTTAAAGACATCAACTCCTGAAGCTATCTTGCTACAGACATAAAAGGCCAAAAATGCACCCCCTTAGGAACCCTCTCCCCTTCACCTCAGTTTCTAGTAGTAAATAACGCCTATGACCAAGGTTGTATGTTACCATCTAATCAGCATACCTGGTACACAATCCACTACTTTTCCTATATAAGCTTTAGCTTCATTCCTGTTAGGTGGCACAGTTCCCTAGGGAGCTCTGTCCACCATTGTAAGTTCCCTAGTGAGCTCTGTCCACTATGGCAGAATTCTTTAAGGGCTCTGCCTGCAGTATTAGCGTTACACTAAACTTTTTGCTACATGACTGGAAAACTGCTTGAGTCCATAAATGTATTCCAGACGACCCTGTCCTGTACTTCGGTCCTTGAGAGGTCCCTGAACCTCTCAAAATTGCATCAATTTCTTATAGTACAATAATACTCTATTACATTAAAATATCACAATGTATTCAGCCATTCCCCAATTGATGGGCAACTCCTTAGTTTACTGTTATTTACCACTACAAAAAGAACTGATATAATTCTTTTTGTATGTCTGGATCCTTTTCCTTTTTTCTTTTATTTCTTTGGGGTACAGGCCTACTAGTGATATTGCTGGGTAAAAGGGTTTACACAGTTGAGTGACCATAGAGGCATTTCCTAGCTGCTTTCCAGAATGGCTGGACCAGTTCACAGCTACTCCGGCAGTGCATTAGTGTGGCTCTTTTCCCACAGCCCCTCCAACATCTGTCATTTTCCTTTTTCGTCATCGTTGACAATCTAATAATGTGTGTGGAAACCTCAGAGTTGTTTTCCTGTGCTTTTAAGTAATAATTTTTTGAGCTCACATTCCCACAAAATATCCTCGCCCATAGCGGAGACCTAGCAGGCAAGTCATTAATGTGTCTTGAATGATTGAGTGAATTAGATTTCTTGGTGTTCCTCACTTTCCACTACATCTCCTGACCTGATGCCTTTTCTCTGCTTGTCTCCCATGCCCAAAATGGTCTCCTTCCTCTACCTCCTGGCTGCCCTGGCTTCCTTCATGACTCAGCTCAAATCCCACCTTTTTTTCTTTTTCTTTTTTTTGGCAATTCGGGTTAAGTGATTTGCCCAGGGTCACACAGCTAGTAAGTGTCAAGTGATTGGTCTGAGGCTGAATTTGAACTCAGGTCCTCCTCTCTTCAGGGCCAGTGATCTATCCACTGCACCACCTAGCTGCCCTCCAAATCCTACCTTCTGGAGGAGGTCTTTCCAACTTCTTCTTAATTTTATTGTCCTCCTTTTGAGGTAACTTTCCATTTACATTATATATGTGTGCATGCATCTATATATCACATGTGTTAATAGTTGTTCGCATGTTTCTTTCTTTCTTCATTAAGAAGTGAGCTCTTTGGGGCCAGGAACAGTTTTCTGCCATTTATTGAATCCCCATTGCCTAGCACAATATCGACACACAGTAGGGTGTTTAATAAATACTGGGTTAAGATGAATCAAGAAGTATTTATTAAGTGCCTCCAGCCTCTAGCACTTTTGCTAGATACTTGGGTTGATGGGGTTGGGATCTAGACCCCAGAAAGGAAAAACCCCAGACTTGCCCACAGGGTCAAATCTCTGGTGTTAGCCTGAGACTATAATCCCGCCAACTGGCCTTTCATTGTGGCTACACCCAATCTCCCAATTCTGTTCCCCTTAACCTAGTCTAACCCCCCCCCCCTGGCCCCTGGCCCATTTCCTACACTTAATCCTAGCTAGGCTCATTGTCCAGGTCCAAGGAGTCCTGTTCACCCCAGTTTACTGGCCATTCCCATTCAGATCCACTCCTAGATCCCTCCCACAGTCTTTCTGTATATAAGGTCCATCTTGTCTCCATTAAGATGCTCTGATTCTAGCCGCCACTCAGATTTTCACAATCTAGCCAATATGTTCAGATTCCTTAAGATCTGGCTAATATGGCGAATCTTCAATAAATCTTGTCTTTGGCTGAAAGAAGGCTTGGGTCGAATTCTTTCAGGCAGGACCTGTATGTCATGATTTTGGGATTCCAGGAACTCTAACCTCTAGACCTCATCAGTTCCCAGCTGCACTTAGTCAATAAACATTTATTAAGCGCCTACATGTCCCAGATACTGTGCTTGGTGTTGGGAATACATATACGAAAAAAGACAGTCCCTGCCCTCAAATAGCTTATGATCTGGGGGAGACAAAATACAAGAGGAAGCTGAAAAGCAGGGAGTAGGGAGGAGCAGAAGGTATCCCACCTAAGGGCTTGGAGGAGAAGTCAGCGTAAGAAGCCTTGGAGTAGAGCAGCCGGGTGAGAAGTGAGATAAGCAGAGCTGGCCTCTCCTGAAAGGAAGGTTTAGAGTTCCTGGCTTGATCCTCCAATCAGAGAGGCCGAGGATGATAAGTTAGAGTACTGGGATAGATGAGAATTTACAAGATAAAGAAGTTATCCCGATAATGAGCTGACTGGGGCTTAGTGGAGAAAGTCAGTCAGAGAAAGTTTGGGAAGATTACTCTGGCCTCGGAGTACGGGATGGCGGGAAGGGAGAGAGGCTGGAGGCTGGGAGACCAATCAGTCTGCCTCCTGGGATGTACACAGTTATTTGCAAGCTGCTTCCCCTGTTAGAATTTGAGTTCCTGAGGGAAGAGACAATTTTTGCCTTTCTTTGTATTACATTCCCGGTTTAGCACTATGTGTGTAGCACGTAGTAAGTGCTTAATAAATGCTTGTTGAAAAATGGCTGAGCAAGTTGTGGTATATGAATGTAATGGAATATTGTTGTGCTATAAGAGATGATGAGCAGGCAGACTTCAGAAAAACCTAGAGAGACTTGTATGGTCTGATGCTGAGTGAAGTGAGCAGAACCAGGAGAACGTTGTACACAGTAACAGCCACATTGTGCGATGACTAATATTGACAGACTTAACCCTTCGCAGCAATGCAAGGATCTAAGACATCTCCAAAAGTCTCAGGATGGAAAATGCTATCCACGTCCAGAGAAAGAACTATGGAGTTTGAATACACATGGAAGCATACCGTTGCTGTGTATGTACAATGTTCTCCTGGTTCTGCTCACTTCACTTAGCATCAATTCATGTAAGTCTTTCCAGTTTTTTTTCTGAATCTGTCTGCTCATCATTTCTTATGGCACAATCAGACAAGAGTTCTTAAACAGGTTGTTAAAATTTGGCTTTTGGGGCAGCTAGGTGGTGCAGTGGATAGAGCACCGGCCCTGGATTCAGGAGGACCTGAGTTCAAATCCGGCCTCAGACACATAACACGTACTGGTGTGTGACCCTGGGTAAGTCACTTAACCCCCTTGCCTAGCCATAATAGTAATAATAATAATAATAAATTTGGCTTTTCAGGAGGGAGAGTACTCTATTTCATTAAAAATCCATTTCCCCCTGTATGGTCATTACTCAATTTTGCTGGGTAAGTGATTCTTGGCTGCAAGCCTATATATCCTCTGCCTTTCTCTACTTTTTTATAGTGGCAATTGTATAAGTGATCATATGTGATCCTGATTATGGCTCCTTGATACTTAATTATTTCTTTCTGGCTGCTTTGGTATGGAAGCTCTGGATTTTGGCTATGATATTCATGGGAGTTTTCATTTTGGGGTTTCTTACAGAAAGTGATTGATGGGTTCTTTTTATTTCCACTCTACCCTCTTGTTCTAAGAGATCTGGGAAGTTTCCTTTTAAGATTTCTTGAAAACTGCTGGGAATACTGGAAAACAGTATGGCAAAAACTAGGTATAGACCAGCATCTCAAATCATATACCAAGATAAGGTCAAAAGGGGCACATGATTTACAAATAAAGGGTGATATCATAAGGAATTAGGAGAGCATGGAATAGTTTATCTGTCAGATTAATAGATAAGGGAAGAATTAGGACCAAGCAAGATTGAGCATTATAAAATGTAAATAGATAATTATGATCATATAAACTTAATGACTTTTTGCAAATAAAACCAAAATGAAAAGGAAAGCAGAAAACTGTGGGAAAAATTTTTGCGACAAGTATCTCTGATAAAGGCCACATTTCTCAAACGTATAGAGAACTGCGTCAAATTTATAAAAATACAAGTCATTCTCCAGTTGCTAAATGGTCAAAGGACATGAACAGGCAGTTTTCAGGCAAAGAAGTCAAAGGTATCTATAGTTATGAAAAAATGCTCTAAATCATTATTGATTAGAGAAATGCAAATTAAAACAACTCTGAGATATCCTCTCATACCTATGAGATTAGCTAATGTGACAAAAAAGGAGAATGATAAATGTTGAAGGGGAAGTGGGAAAACTGGGACACTAATGCAGAGTTGGTGGAGTTGTAAACTGATACAACCATTCTGGAGAGAAATTTGGAACTCTGCCCAAAGAACTATAAAACTGTGATACCCTTTGGTCCTACTGCCACTGCTAAGTCTGTATCTCAAAGAGATTAAAACAAGGGAGGGGGGAAGGACCTATATGTACAAAAGTATTTATAGCAGCTCTTTTTGTGGTGGCTAAGAATTGGAAATTGAGGAGAGGACAAGCCCAGCAGTTGGGAAATGGCTGAACAAGCTGTGCTATAAGATTGTGATGGAATATTATTGCAATGTAAGAAATGACAAGCAGGATGATTTCAGAACAATCTGGAAAGACTTGTATGAACGGATGCAAAACGAAGTGAACAGGACCAAGCGAATGTTGTACACAGTAACAGCAATATTGTACAATGTAGAATTGCAAATGACTTAGCTATTCTAAGCAATCCAATGATCAAAGACAATCCCAAAGGATTCATGGTGGAATGTATTATCTGTTTCCAGATAAAGAACTGATATTGTCTGAATGCAGACTGAAGCATATTATTTTCACTTCTTTTTCTTTATTTTTCCCTTCTTTCATTTTTTTTGAGTCTTCTTGCTCAAAATGACTAATACGGAAATGTTTTACATGATTGCACTTGTATAACCTATATTGGACTGTTTATTGTCTCAGGAAGGAGGGAGGGGAGAGAGGGATAGAATTTGGAACTGCTTTGCTCCTGGGGTCCAAGTCACCAGGAAATTACTTGTATCTGAACTTGCTCCTCACTTAGTCCAATACTGTCAACCTAGGGCCTGGGATCACGTCTCCCCCTAGAAGAAGAGGTTTAAGTTCCATCCTCAGTCCACCCGGGATCTGTGGCCCAGAAATAACTAATGGTCGACAAATCTGCCAGTTGGTGGCAATTTGTGGTGCCCCAGTACACAGATCGCAGGGTACCCCAGTATGGGTCTAATACCTTCCCTCTCACTGGTGCCCAGCTTCTCCCCACATATGGAGTCTTCTAAACTAGATCACATCACTAGCGTTTGCACACCTCCCTATCTGGCTACTAGGTGGCACAGCGTATAGCGCACAGGTCTCGGAATCAGGAAGATTGTCTTCCTGTGTGACCTAGGTAAGTCACTTAAACCGGCTTTTTAATGGTTTTTTGTTTTGGTGATTATGCTCATGAAATTGAGTTTCCCCCTGGGTGATGGTGTATTGAATGAATGAATAAAAAAGCATTACTCAATTACCACGTGCCAGGCAGCTTGCTAAACTTTGGGAATAGAAAAAGCAAAAGTAAAGACCATTCCTGCCCGCAGGCAGCTTACCGGCTAATAGGTGAATGCTCCTCAAATTTGGGAGTGGTGGCCGAGGATCTCTGTTTCATCCAGGGAATCACCGGGATGGTGAGTGGAGCCTTACAGGGACTGACAGACTGGAGGTGGGGTTGATTTCGTTATTGCTCCCAGATCTAGAAGTGGACATCAGAGTTGGGGTGGAGAATATGGGCGCCTTGAAGACTAGGGAGGTGATAAAAGGAGGAACAGCACGGTGGGGGTCTGGATTAAGTCACGTCAATAAACATTTATTAAGCGCTTATCAAGTTCCAGGGATACAAAGAAAAGCAAAAATAGTTCGTGCCCTCAAGGAGCTTATGCTTCATTGGGTAGACATCATGAAAGTAACATACAAGATTACACAGAGTTAATCACAGAGGTGATGTCCAAGGGAAGACCGTGAGCAGTGGGGGTGGGGGATGGGCTGGGGGGAAGGGGAGGACGCCAGGAAAGGCTTCTTACAGAAGGCGAGATTTGAAGGAAGCCAGGAGAGATCAGTGCAAAGGCAAAGTCGGGAGGTGAGTGTTTCTGCTCAGGCACAGCAAAGAATCTGGTTGGAAAGGGTGACCTGAGTGGAGGTCGGAGTCGGGGTGCAGTTTTTCAGGCTCTGGAGAGAAGGATAGTATGCTAAGTGATGGGGCAGGGGGAGGAATATGGTGGGAGGCAGGCAGGACTGAACGCTTCCTGCAGCACAGTAATAAGTGGGAGGGGTGTAAGACGCACACCTTAAAAATATCAGACCGATGTTTCAGCAAAGGTAGGCAGCCTGGTCTAGAAACCCCCCCCAAAACAGCCAGTGACACACATAGCGATTTAAGGTTTTCAAAACATTTGACATGGATTATTTCAAATTATCCCCACTTTACAGATGAGGAAACTGCGGATCAAAGAGCTGAAGCGACTTGTCTAGGGTGACACAAGCAAGTATGCGGCTGAATCCAAACATTGGTCTTCTTGACCCTAAGACCGGTAGGATAAAACCATAAGGTATCTCAGGGGCTTGAAATGGACAAAAGCGCAAGTTCAACACGTGCCAAAAGTGCTGCACCCAGAAGTCCCGGAGGTTACATCACTCGTATGCGCAGTGGGTCAGAACTACAATTCCCAGGAGCTCTGCGGCATCGCGTGCCCGGACAACAGCCAATCACCAAGCGGCACGGGGCGGCATGAGGGGGCGGGGCCTGTGGGTATATAAAGGATTTCCCGAGGGGTGTTGGCCCTTTCGCTACACTGTGCTAGGTGGTGTGTTTGTATCCGTTATCCGGTTTCTGCACCCTGACAGAGGAACCTTCCGGCCTGATGGCTTTGCAAGGGCTCCTCCAGGTGCCGGATGGAGAATGGTTGGATAAAACAGCGGCCTGCCTGGTTGCGGAGAGCGTGGCTAAGGCCTGCGCGGGGGTGAGGCGCACTGGGCATGCGCGTTGAAGGGAGCAGCGCACGTGACCCAGACCCTGTCTCCCCTGGAGGACCCGGAGGGAGCTTCCTTCGGGCCCGGAGAGGTGAGTAGGCCTCTGCCCCAGGGCCAGGCGAGGGTTAGATTGGGCCGCGGCTGCTCCCACCCGGGCTCTGCAGGTGGGGTTTGGAGCAGGGAGGGGCATCTTTACTGTAGAGTGGAAGGAACCTTGGATTTGGAGTCTGGGTCCCGGTTCGAGTCCTGTCTCTGCGCCTTGCCCGCGTGTGACCTTGGGCAAGTTTACTAAACCCCTGGGGTCCTCAGTTTCCTTCTCCTGTAAAATGAAGCGGTTGGATCAGCTAACTTGTGGACCCATCCAACTCTGAATCCTTTGAAAAAGGAAGGCGAGGTTTGGGGTGTCCCCCCAACAACAGATTTCGTGTCTAACCAAAGGTAAATCGCGTAACCGCTGGGCCTGGCGACACATTTTGTAAGGCGATTCGAGCTCTAAGGTGCCTTCAGTAAACATTTGTGAATCGCCTGCTATGTGCCAGGCACGGTGCTGAGCTTCCAGCTTTAAAGCCATGGTGCCGTAGATGACAGAGGGGAGCAGGAAGGACCTTTACATGTCATTTTTGGGGTCTCCTCTCCATCCCCCCAATTTCAGCATGATTCCGAGCTCTAAAGAAAAGCGATCTTAGCTCTGGGCCAGGGAGCTTCATTTCTGGTTCTTCGGCTTAGTGGGGGGAGGAGAAGGGAGGGCAAGACTTAGGAGGCCAGGTCTGAGCCTCCTAGCAAGATGAGGTCCAGAGCTGGGTTCTCATTCCTGCATCTATAAAATTTAGGTCGCGCTATGACCTGCCGGTATTGGTTCTTAGCATCCTGATTGGAGAAGGGAACAGTGAGTGGGAGGGGGTGCCCTTGAACCCAGGCCTCTTTGGGGTAGCTGACTAGGGCTGATGGGGGTACTGTTTCTGAAGGAAACCACAGGAAACTTCATACCTATTGGCAGATGCTCTAGAAATGGGCTTTGAAAAGGGAGGAAAGGCCAGCCTGAGGAACTCTTATCACCAAAGGGCTTTTGTTGGAGGGGATTCAGCCTCTGCTGATCGACCATCCCATGGCCATGAGGGTGCCCAGCTGGTGAGGCCAGACCTCCCCCTCCTACCCTTGCAGCTGCAGGCCCTTATCGAAGCTGCGGCAGTTCCTCCTATAGCTGTTGCAGTCAAAAAGGAGCCCAGAGTGACAGTTTCCCGACGGTCGTTGTTCTATTTAACGCTGTAGTAGAACAGCAACATTATGGGAAAAGACAGAAGCTGTCTGTGTTACCTGAACTCTGTTGGTTCAGAGGCATATATGGTCTATCCTGAGAGAGTAGCAGCTTTGGTGCAGATAAGGTTAGGTTTAACAAGGTCTTGGAGGGTGGAAAGCATTTTGTGTACATTGTTTTCTTTGAAGATGATAGCAGTGAACTGTGAAATACCTACTTCAGGCATATTAGCCCCATTTTCCAGATCAGGAAACAAGGGTGGGGGGGACGTCAAGTGACTTGACCTTTGGGGTCCAGCTCTTTGTCCACAGAGCATAGAGGCTGGTGGTGCTAGTATTGGAAACCCCTGTAGTAAATTTATTTTCACTCATGTTGTATTTTCACCTCTTTTCCAGGAACACTTGGTACTGAAGATGAGCTAAAGAGGTGATGATCTTATTGGCCTGTGCTCACTTAGCAGGTGAGTGGAATGGGTGAGAGGTTAATTCGCCTCCCGACTAGTGCCCAGCATCCGATTACAGCTGTCATTAAGATAGATTACCTAAAGCCTTATAATTTGCGAGTGGTGGGTAGGGTTCAGAAACCTGATTTACCAGCAGGCATTTGAGACAGGCACTAAAGATAGATTTACTTCACTGGAGGAGACCTGCAGTTTGTACCCATAATAAATAGATTATTTGTACAAAATAGATGACCTGGACTGTGTCCAACTCCCTGCCGCTACATCCCCCTTCTGGACTAACAAGGACTAGTCAGACTCATGGTATAGCTCATGCTTCTTCCCCTGAACGTGGTAACAGGGGATCCCCAGCAAGTGTGTAGACACGGTGTACTCATGGATTCCTGTCCGTGAACAGATAAAACAAACCTGGTTTAAATGAACTCGGGCTTACCATCTAAATGAAGAATGTCTCACCAGCATGTCTTATCAAGGGCTGTGGCTTGAAGTAGCCACGGGGTCTCCAACTGCATGCAGAACATGCTGGAAAGACTTTGACAGTGCGGGTCACCACATGCCTGCAGCTGCCACTCAGCTTTCCTATACTCATAAACACACACATAGGTACAGGTATGGGGAAGAAACTTTACATAGGGGAACTTAACTCTTAAGTCATTCTGGCTCCATTCACTGCAGTGGCTTTCGTTCTCTTGCTGTCTGGGCTTTTAAGTTTGGGTTTAGAGCATTCACGTTATCTTTATTTTTTTTTTAAACTTTAGTGCCAGCCAAGGATACCTGCTTGCTTTCTACTGGATCGGGTTTCATCAGGTGAGTCCCGTGTCACTGGGAGCCAGTTGTCTGGGCTGAGGCTGTGGTCCTAACATGATCCCACAGTGCATGGGCTTTGTCATGATGTGCTGTCTCGCCCCCTGCGCTGATCCCCAAGCAATGTGTGAGGCAGCCATTGCTGGGGTCAGCCTCCAGATCCCTTGGATTCGGCCCAGTCCGTTCCTCTGTGACTGGTCGAGGATGACTCTCAATCTGGTGGACATGACTTGGATGACACTTGCGGATATGGGACTGAGACCAGCCACAAGCCCCATCACCCAAGAGGTTGGGCCCAGTTAAGAGCTTGCTGATGGTTTATCCTTTTTTCCTCCCGCAGAAGCTGGCCTGCTGGGTGATAGTGTATGATCCACGTTCCTTTTTGATAAAATGCTTGCTGACTTCTTTCGGGAAAGGCTGAATCTTGTATGTAAATTCCTGCTGCTTTTGTTACATGAAGGGACACACGGGGAGATTTTATCAATAAACAAACAGAAAAACTGAATAGCTGTATGAGAACCAAGTATTTCAGTGAAGCCGACAACCTAATGAATGGAGGTGATTATAGGCCTGTCATTACCCAAATACTTTAATGGGCAACTAGAATCCAAGCTCATTAGAAAGAGGTACACAACAACGTTGCAGGGCTCCCTGGAGCCTGCTGGGGAGCCCCTCCTGAACGGGGGAAAACGCTCCCTGAACAAATGAAACACCTGACTCTAGTCACAGTTAAAATTGTTGACCTATTTCTTACTATCCTTTCCCCCCCCCCAGAAAACCCAGGAGCAGCCATTTTAAGGCTTTGCTTTGACTCTTCTGACTCTCCCCATTCCTACAGGAAGACTGAAAGACCTCTCATTTCTGTCCTTCAATGTCAATTGGAGTGTATTTGCTATTTGAGCAAATATTATTAAAATTTTATAAATTACATTTCAAAAAGGTTAAAAGTTTCCACTGTTCCTCCTGGCCCTCCTCTTCCTATACAGTCCTTGCCCAGGTGCTGAGCTGTGAGCCCAGCAGGGCTACATCACAGGGGGGATCTCTGATGAGACGGTGTCCAAAGGCTGCCAGTGACAGTTCATCATAGCATCGTAAAGCTCCTCACTCTGCTCCATGAACTCTTTGTTGGCTTCATTCACATCCAGCTGAGGCGTTGGGTCTAGACAGAGGGAGAAGAGCGTCAGTAGGGACCATCTCCCTGGAAGCTAAGGCAGGCCCAATATTTCCTTACCTAGTAGTCAGAAACAAGTATTTATTGTGATGCAAATCTGATTCTCCCGTTTCCCTTCATCAAACCAGGAAAGGCAGGCCTGTAGGTGTGTACTCTGTGGCTTGAAAATCAAGTTTTGGCAAACCTCCATATCTCTCTGACTATATTTCCCAAAGCACTTTCTAATTCAAAATCATACACATGTAACACTGTCAGGTTAAGGTAGTGTGCCTACTGTTCAGGCCAGTGGGGCAGAAAAACACAAAAGTGTTTTTAAGAAACATGTTCCTAACAATTATGAAAGACTTAACTGAGATCAAGCACACCTACACAGGACTGATGGTGGAGACATGCCTGCCTCCTGAGACAGGAGAAAAGGTGCAAAATGGGAGGCCCACTCGTGGCCACGGCCAAGATGGGAGTTTGTTTTGCCAGACTGTGCTTACTTGTGAGGGTTCTTTTTCCTGTGTATGTGTGTATGTGCATGTGTGTCTAAGTTTGATAATTGAAATAGATAAGATTTAAGTTATCTGAAAGTTAGTAAATCATGAGAAGACATGTATGATCTGATGCAGAATAAAGAAAGCAGAACCAGGAGAATGACACAAACATGACTACAATAATAAGTAAAACACTAAAAGAAAGCTCAAGACTGAGTAACTATAATTGATAGAGTCCTAATAAAGCTGCCCCTAGCCCCAACATTCTAACTTCCTTATGGGCCGCACTGAACAGTAGGCATGCACTGATTTAACCACACCTCAGGCCCCCAGACCCAATTCACATATTTGAACATATCCTTGTTGTATTCAACCACAATCACACCATCCATTTAGCCCAAGATAGGACCACAATAGCTAGCCAATCAGAGAGCAGCATGACCAGGATGTTTGACCACTGAACCATAGAAGGATCCCTCCCATTCCCTAATCCCTTAACAAACTCCTCCTGTCTTTCTAATACTCATAATTTCTGTTGCACAATCAGCATCATTACACTACAAATTTGCCTGTGTGGTCTCACTAAGTTGCTGGTTCCTCTTAGAACCTAGCCCACTTTTGAGGGGCGTCAATTCTCAATAAATGTCTATACTTGGATGAGAGGTGGTCTGACTCTGAATTCTTGGAGATTTCCCCGTGATGGGCAGAGAGGTGGGGACCACCTCAGAGGAATGCTGCCCACACTGTCAGCCCCTGTCGCTGTTTTGGAGAGCTTTGGTCATGATTTTGCTGGAGCTGTCTGGGGCACGTATCTCTAATGGTCAGGTGGGTGGGCAGAGGCCCTGGGGAACCTGGAGTGTTTGTGAGTTTGGCCTTCTCAGGCCCCAGCCAGCAGCAGAGTGAGACACTGAAACACTGTAGGCATTCTCAGCTCTCAGGCTTTATGGCCAACACCAGGAAAGTAAAATTCTCCAAGGCTCCAGGGTCCCCAGCTGCTCCATTCCCCTAGCTAGACACTACTGAGGTAGCACAGTCTAGGGATGAGAACTGGGGCCGAGGAGTCAGGAAACCTGGGTTCAAATTCTGACTCTCCGCTAGACTTTTAACTTGGCTTTGGAGAACAGAAAAGCAGAATGATGGGGCTGAGGTGGAAGCAGACCCAGAGCCTCAGGGGCCACAGCATCTCAGAAGGGAAAGAAGCATCTTACCTTCCAATGCATCATCACCGACTTCTTCGTATGTCTGTCAAAGGGGGAGGGGAGAGGCACGTGAGGGCCCCCAGAAATCCACAGCCACTGCTACACAGGGCTGCCCTCTAGCACGGGGGGCCTTTGGGACTTTGGACCCCGTTCCCACCACTGTTTCTTTTGAAAACGTCAACTCCAATTGTATTATAGAAACCTTGGAACACATTTATGTTGCCAATGAAAAGGAAATAGAGACAATCACTCAGCACAGAGGGTGTCCCCCAGAAGTCACACGTGATCACCAGGAAGGGAACAAGATGGCCCTTTCTCACCGCTCCCCAAGTGTATCCTGAACCATTTTTTCTTACGTACCCTCTCTAAGGGGTCCCCCTCCCTCCGCTGTGTGACCATCAGCTTCCCCGTGGAGCCCTCCCAGTCCTTCCACCAGCCCCGGGCTGGTCTGATCCATCCAGCTCCCTCTCTGGTTTCCTTCCCCACTCCTCCCCACCCAGCCAGGTGCTCTGGGGCTACCTGCATGGTACTCTGGGTGTAGCCATACTGGGGGTAGCTGTAGCTGTAGCTGCCAGTGTTCTGGTCGTAACCCCACTGTGCGTAGTAGTTCTGGTACTGCTGATAATACTGGTTGAGACTATAGCTGTACATCTGGCTGTACTCCATGGGCTTCACTCTGTTCCTTAGGGCACAGGGAAAACACAAAGGAAAGCAGACAAGTCTGTCATTGTGTCCCCCTGCTGAGCCCCAGCCAGCCTGAGGTAATCCCAGCGAGCTGCAGGCCGGCACAGGGACTGGCCTACCTCCTTCCTAAGGATACTGACCAGGGAATCCTAGACTGAGGACCAGAGGGGCCCTCCAAGCTCATCTAGGCCAACTCTTTCACTCTGCAGTTGAAGGATCTGAGATCTGGAGGGCTGAGGAGACTTGCCCAAGGTCACCCAGTGGTAAGTGATGGATCTGGGTAACTGCAGCACCCCACCCTGAACCCTCTATCCACCACCTGAGACTGGGGGAGATCCAGGAGGCCAAAAGCACCCTTCCACAGCCCTGCCTACAAACCCCCGACGGGGAGGAGAGGGAAAGAAGGAGGGGATGGGATCCAGCCAAGAAGATCAGTGTCCCTTGAAGGGCTGACCAGCCAACCCAGATCCCTTCTCCTTCACAGACCCAGGCTCAGGCGCCCACCACCAAATCTGTGGTTGGTTTTGAAGAGTGCGGGTCTGGTATTCATACAGCTTTGAGTAAAAGAAGGCACTCCTCTTGCAGCAGTGAAGTAGCAAGGGGAGACCCTTGCAGCCAGTCAGTGGGGATGGGGTACAGCAGAAGGAAGGTCAATTTTGGCTTTGAGGGCCTGGGTTCAAATCTGGGCTCTGGCACTTACTACCTGTGTGACATCAGGGCCTGCTGCCTCATTATCAAAGGAAGGGGTTGTTGGTCTAAACGACCTTGGAGGTCCATCCAGCTCTCATTTCCCTCCTCGCTGAGAGCTAACCAAAGAGATGCAGAACCCCGGGACAAGAACGTTCTGGCTCCCTCCCCATTCCCCACCCAGGACCAGGACTTACGCCTTGGGGATAGCCACACTCAGGCGCACTGGCTTCGAACCCAGCCCCACTGCCCCTTGGCACTCAGTCAGGGCGCGCTTCTGTTCCAGCTCATCTGTGAATTTCACGAAGCCATAACCCCTAGAGAATGAAGCATCAGTTCAGTCCCAGGTGGCCACATTGGGCCGTGCTCAAGCCCTCCTAGGGAAGTGGGCAGGACTGTCAAAACCACAGAGGTTCCTGAGCTGGGACGTGCAGGAACTCAGAGTTTTATTTCAATATCCCATAATTCTTTGCCTCCTCACCTGACCCTCCCCGGCCAGCTGGCCAATATGAACGTCCCTCTGTTCATGCTGCCACGCTGCTCTCCCCTCTGCCCACACTCTAGCCAACTTCTCCCCAACCTTCCCAACTCCCCAAGGAGCCTTCCCGGGTTCTGGGTCTGGAGCTCTCTGCTTCCCCCTGACCTTAGAGCCCTAGTAAGCCGGACTTCTCACTGGGCATACATCACCGGCTGCCTGGCGATGTTCCCTGACCTTGGTCTGGCATTCATGTAACCACTGCAAATGTCTCTGCTTCTCTGTATTCCCATGAGGCCTAACACAGGATGAGTTGCTCAAATTCTCACTGAATAAACAAATGAGGAGCTACGGAAACAATTACTATTCCAGAACAGCATTCTAGAAAAAAATACTCTTCTAGAAATGTTCTCTGTGGCCACCAATACCAAATCAAATGCTACCTTGAACTTGAGCCTGTGGGGAAATCTCTAACACACCAGAACCAACTGCTCCCAAGTGAAAATTTCCTTAGGGAGACCAGGGTTCAAGCCGGACACATATGCCTGCATGACAGCCCTTTGTGCAGACAGACACGAAGGCCTGGGGGACTCTCTCAGGGGGCTCTCAAGGTTGCATAGCCCATCTAGGACCTGGAAGCCCCCCAAAATGGAGGAACACCAAGGGGCACGTCAAGAGCAACTCTAGGGGAGCGTGGGTCACCTTGGTGAAGATGTAAGCGCCGATGCTTTAGGGTTGCACCCTTGCATCCTTCTTGCCTGAACAGCCAATGCCCTATTATCCCCTCTTTGGCTGTGACCAGCCAGGGCAGGGGAGATGTTCAAAACGAAGGGGTGTTTGAGGTGCTCAAGAATTCCACGGCCCAACACGTGCTGTGTGAATGAGGCTGACCCTCTCTTTCTCCAGCACTTTAACACGAGCTTTTAAACCTACTCCAGAATTATCTCCCTAACACAACTGTGGTCTAATATCACCTTCCAAAAAGGAAACCGAGGCCTAGAATGGGAAAATGACAGCTTCAGGAAAAACTGAGATGCAGCAGCACAGGATGGTGGGCAGGGAAGGAAACTTCAGAGTTTCCTCATCTTAAGATGAAGGGAACGGAAATCTAGAGGGAAGACATGAGCACACTCTTGGAGCAGCCTCATGGTCTGGAGGGGTTGACCTTGGGAGATGAAGGTGGACAAGGCAGTAACGACAAAGGCCAACAATCCTGGACTGGGAGCCAAGAAACCAGGACTCTGGCCTGGGTGGAGCCTGTGGTCTCATTGTGTGACCCTGAGGAAGTCACTCTCCCTCTTCTACCTCTAAAACGACGGCCTTAGACTAGACAACCTTGAGGTTCCCTCCCAGCTCTGACACTCTATGCTCTGAGGGCCCTCCCAGCTCTGACATCCTGTGTCCTAAGGGCCCTCCCAGCCCTGACATCCTGGGTTCTAAGGGCCCTCCTACCTCTGACATCCTGGTTCTAAGGGCCCTCCCAGCCCTGACATCCTGTGTTCTAAGGGCCCTCCCAGCCCTGACATCCTGGGTTCTAAGGGCCCTCCCAGCCCTGACATCCTGGGTTCTAAGGGCCCTCCCAGCCCTGACATCCTGGGTTCTAAGGGCCCTCCCAGCCCTGACATCCTGGGTTCTAAGGGCCCTCCCAGCCCTGACATCCTGGGTTCTAAGGGCCCTCCCAGCCCTGACATCCTGGGTTCTAAGGGCCCTCCCAGCCCTGACATCCTGGGTTCTAAGGGCCCTCCCAGCCCTGACATCCTGGGTTCTAAGGGCCCTCCCAGCCCTGACATCCTGGGTTCTAAGGGCCCTCCTACCTCTGACATCCTGTGCTCTAAGGGCCCTCCCAGCCCTGACATCCTGGGTTCTAAGGGCCCTCCCAGCCCTGACATCCTGTGTTCTAAGGGCCCTCCCAGCCCTGACATCCTGTGTTCTAAGGGCCCTCCCAGCCCTGACATCCTGTGTTCTAAGGGCCCTCCCAGCCCTGACATCCTGTGTTCTAAGGGCCCCTCCCAGCCCTGACATCCTGTGCTCTAAGGGCCCTCCCAGCCCTGACAATCCTGTGCTCTAAGGGCCCTCCCAGCCCTGACATCCTGTGTTCTAAGGGCACTCCTAGCTGTGACATTTCGTGAAATCCATTTGATTAAGCTCAGCAAAGCAAGTAGGAGGTTACATCTACAAAAGCCTTTGGAGCCTTGCAGGCCCCCTTGTGGGTTCTATGGATCACACCCCTCTCCTCCTTGAATGAATCAGCTCAGAGGCTGAAGGTCCTCACTGCAGGAACCAGTGTTCATCTGGCCCCCATACCCCCTAAGCATGTCCCCTCCATCTTCTGCCAATCGGCCTGGCCTGTTCACTTTCTTCAGAATTCTGACAACTGCTCTGAACGGGGAAGACACAGGGATGGGGGTGGGGGTGATGGCCTTACTTAGAGACTCCTGCCTGGTCCAGGACCACCTTGCCTCCTCGACACGAGGGGTAGACTTTAACAAAGAATTCATAGAGCATGCCATCATCCACGTCTGGGCTGAGGTCCCTTACAAAGAGTGAGTACTCAGGGCTGAGGGAGAGAGAGAGAAGGACACAATCAGAGACAAAGGGCAGAGCAGAGCTAAGAAGAGCCCTAGGGACCTAACCCACTGCAGTGTGCCCTTCCTCCTGGGCCTGGAGGGAAGCCTTGACCTTCTGAGGACCCTCCTGGTCATCAAGAAGACCCTTCCTCTATTGCCCAGAATCATAGCCCAGCAGTCTCCTGCTTCATGGTGTGTAGCTGGCTGACCCCATGCCATCCTTGGAAACCTCATGTAAAACAGTGGGCTTATGGGTAACTTTGCAGGGTTCCAAACAGGGGTAACTAGGGAGTCTGGAGCCCAGGAGGAATTCTCAGAGCTATGGCCTCCTCTAAAATTTACACTGAGAAAGAGGCAGTCTTATCCCCTCCCCCTCCTACCCCTTGCCAAAACAAAAATAAATATACTCTTTGTATATGCATATGTGCATGCATGTATGTGAGGGGTGGGGTTAAAGGGACACAAGAAGGAGAAGGTATGGATCATAACCTCAAGGAAGACAAGCAGCTGATGGCAGAGAAAGCAAGCGGGGGGGGGGGGGGGAGGCCGGACGTGGTCACAGCTGAACGTCATGTGAGGCTCAGCCACACGAGGCTCTGGGGTCCCAGCAGGCCAGGCCCCAGCACCCACTGCTATGGCCCTGATGCCCCATGGCTCCAGAAGAGGGAGAAGCCCTGGGGCCCCTCTTGGACTCACCTATTATCTGGTTGTTTCCCATAAGTGGCGTAGTTCAGTTTAAAACGTTTTGCCTGAAACAACAGTGCAGAGTCAGGAGAGGGTCACTCTAGGGCCAAACAACATTCAGAAGAGGCATGAAATAACCATGGATGTACTCACTGGTGTGCCAACTTGGTACAGCGTGGGGTGGTGCAGTGGAAAGAACCCTGGACTGGGGAGTCAGGAGACCTGGGTTCAAGTTCCAGCTCCACCACTTACAAGCTAGGTGACCTTAGGCAAGTCAGTAAAACTCTCTGAGCCTCAGTTTCATCATCTGTAAAATGGGAATAATAACACTTGCACTCCCTACCCTACAGGGTTGCTGTGGGGAACAAATGAGATCGCGGATAGAAAGCCTTTCCTCAACATCCTACAACAAGAGGAGTTATCACTGCTATCACCACTTACGATCAACAGCTGCAAACTGAAGGTGGCCCGAGGGTGCTCTGGACTGCGGGGTCCCTCCTCCAACACTTACTCACTGTGGGGCCACAGACAAGTCAGTGAGCCTCCTGAACCTCAGGCCACTCTAAAACTTATCTCCTGGTGGGGTAGGCATGCCTGCCTGGGGACACCGGGCAGAGGCTTCCTTCTCTTGGCTTAGTGTCACATCTACCCTGTGACTAGTGTCTCACTCAGGCTCCTGTGACAAACTCATGGTCCTTACTGGTGTGGCTCCGGGGAGGGGTTTTCCATTTATTTTATGCAAACACTTCTCAGCTGTGGCCAGATCGCAAATTCCACAAAGCAGTAGCCAGCAGGGATCCTGGAGAGAAAGGAAGGCAAGATCAGGGTTAGGGCAAGACCTAGTGACCTCTGAGAAGGAGGCCCTAATTAGAGGTGTCCCAGAAAAAGGGCCAGAGGACACGCGGTCAACTGCTCAGCGACTTAAGACCTGAGTGACCCAGAGTGTTCGTAAACTGGATGAGCTGATCTCCAAGGCCCTTCCAGCTCTGAAGCCATAGTTCTGTGGAAGGAAACCAGATGGTCTAATGGAGCTCACCACTGTGTTACCCACGGAATCTCTGCTCTTATATAACTGGATTGGTACAGGGAACTCCCAGTTTGAGAGATGCCTCTAGCAAAGGGGATCATTAAGGGTTCAACAACTTAAGAGTGCTGAAGGGCTGCCTGGGCGCTCTGAGAGGGGTAATGACTTGCCCAGAGTCACACAGCCAGGTCATCAGAGGTGAGGCTTGACTGACATGTGAGGTCTTCCTGACATGTGGCTAGGGTGATCTGTAGATGGTAAAGTGACAGGGATCACACCTGTGATTATACTGATCACAGGTGAGGAACTGCCTGCCACCAAATGCAGGTCAACACCTTTCCAGTGACTCCTAGTCCTGGGGAGCTGCCTAGAATGATGTACCATGAAGAGATCTGCTCACAAGTTGGTGTTTGTCTGGGGTGTAATTGCAGGTCTCCCCCATTATACCACGCAGCCTCTCACCCATACATATGAATGCTAATGCTACTGTTGGTGGTAATGGCAAGGATGGGATGGCAAAGCGAAATCACAGAATCCCAGACTTTTCCTGCATGAAGAATCCCCTCGACAGCCTCTCAGGCTCTGCTTGAATACCCCTGGAACACTCTATAGCTCCCAAGGCATCCGTAACCCTATAATCCTAATTTAGTCAATAATCACAGGCGAGATTACTTCTTAGTAGCAGAGGATCAGAGTTGAGAAGAACACTCCTATCACGACTCCACCACCACAAGGTCATGGAGCCAGCCTGCACCAAACGCTTCTGGGAAGGAAGAATTCCCTACTTTCCAGCAAGCCAGGCTGTTCTGCTTTGGGACAGCTCTGCATTTCAGTGTGTTAGACCCTGTTGAGCTGGAACCTGCCTCTCTGCAACATCCTCCAATTGTCCCTAGTTCTGTCTTCGGGCCCAGCAGAAGGCAGCTCATCCCTCCTGACTATCGACAGCCTGTAAAAGTTTGAAGACGGTTATCATTCCTCCCCTAAATCTTCCAGTGATCCCCCTATGGTCTCTGTGCATGGTCCTCACTTCCAGCCATTGTGGCTGCCCTTCCTTGCATAAACTCCAGCTGGCCATGGTACCTTCCTCAAACGAGGCACTCAGAATGGAACACAGGCCTCCAAGTGTGTCTGGCCAGCACAGATAGCAGCAGGACTGTTACTTCCTTCGTCCTGGACGTGCCTCTAACAATATAGGCTAAGATCAAATGAGCGTTTTTTCTTCCTGCCACATCACATTGTTAACTCACATTGAGCTTGCAGTCCCCTAAGAATCTCAGATCTTTTTCACATTAACAATTGATTAGTTATGTCTCCCCCATCCATCCTTGTACAGATCTTTTTTTTTTTTGCTATCATTTATATAGCACTTTAAGCTCTGCAAAGCATTTTACAAATATTATCTCATTTGATCCTCAAAAATAACCCTGGGGGGTAGGTGCTATCATTATCTCCATTTTACAGATAAGGAAACTAAGGGCCACATGGCCAGTAATAATAATAGCTAGTAATAGCAAACCTTTATATAGCATCTACCATGGGCCAGACACTGTGCTAAGCACTTTACAAATATTGTCTTATTTTATCCTCACAAGCACTAGGTGTTTTTATTATCCCCATTTTACATATGAGGAAACTGAGGCAAGCAGGGTTAAGTGACTTGCCCAGGGGTCATACAGCTAGCCAGTAAGATTCTGGAGCTGGACTTGAATTACAAGTTTTCCTGACTCTAAGCCCATCATTCTCTCTTCTGTGCCACCATCAGCCTTCTTAGCTATAATCCTACGCAAAGCTACTTTGGAAAGTATAAAGCTCTGAACAAATCATTCACTCTTAAACTGGAAGGGAACTCAGGAATCATCCTTATTTGACAGATAGGGAAACTGAGGTCCAGAGAAGAGTAGAGACTTATTCACCTGGGTTTCCTTTCTTTCTGCTCTGGTTCTGTCTGAGAATGCTAATGGAAATGAAAATGGCTAAAAGGCCAGGGGGACCCATCAGAGAACCTCAGTCCAAATCCCATCTCTGACACATACTACCTTTACTTTAGGTAAGTCCCTTAAACCATCTGTGCCTCAGTTTCCTCATTTCTAAACTGAGGGAAAAAAATAAAACAAAATGAAAGGATTGACCTAGATGCTCTGAGGTCCCTTCCGGCTTCAGATCTATGGTCCTGTGAAGTTACAGAGAAGCAGATTTCAGTTCAATATCAGGAAGGCCTTTCTAAAATACATTTATTTAACACTGATATACTTGTGAGGTAGTGAGCTTCCTGTCACTGGAGATCATAGGATCACAGAAGGTCACAGGATATGAATAGACAGTTTTCTGAGGAAAATCCTAAGCTATTAACAGCCAGATGAAAAAATGCTCTAAATCACTAATCATTAGAGAAACGTAAATTAAAGCACCTCTGAAGTACCACTTCATTACCCATCACATTAGCAAAGCTGACAGAAAAAGGAAAGTGACAAATGCTGGACAAGCTGTGTGGGAAAACAGGTACATTCATGGACTGCTGGTGGAGCCGTGAACTGGTCCAACCATTCTGGAGAGCACTTTGGAACTGGGCCCCAAAAACATTCACAGCAGCTCTTTCTGTGGTGGCAACGAACTGGAAACTGAGAGGATGCCCATCAACTGGGGAAGAAATGAGGAGCAGGATGGTTTTAGAAAAACCTGGGTAGACTTGTATGAACTGAAGCAGAGTGAAGTGAGCAGAACCAGGAGAAATAACAACAATGCTGTAGAGACAAACAACTCTGAAAAGCTTAGAAACTCTGATCACAACGTCCCATCACAATTACAGAGGACTCATGATGAAACATGCCACCCACTTCCTGGTTTTGCTTGACCCTATTCATCTGTTACAAGGGAGAGCTCCTCTGGGGAGGGGAAAGGATAGGGATGTAAGGACAGAAGAGAGCACCAATAAAGCACTTCAGAATCCTCGTAAGAGAAGCAGCTTGGAAAATACAGTACCCAGTGAGCCTGTTGCGGATGATTTTAACGCTCAGAACGGTCTCTCCCATGGTGGCGAAAGCTCTGGAGATAAAGTTCTCATCCATGTAGGGTTCCAGCTGTAAGAAAATCAGCACTGTTGGGGAAACCTGGAGGAAAGCACCAACCCCCCACCTCACCCCCAGCAGCCAGGGAGAGGCCACACCTGCCTTCCTCAAGACTGCCAAGGACTCAGCTTCTCTGAACATTCTTCATTTGAAATACAGAAATAATACCTGGAATACCTACCTCCCAAGGCCAAGTAGACCTCAAGGCAGGAAAACCTGGTTCTGAATCTCATTTCTAACCCGTACTAGCTGTGTGGCCCCAGGCAAAGTACATGCTAGCCTCTGTGCCTCAATTTCTTCATTTGTAAAATGAGTATAAACCACCCTGGGTATTTCACAGGGTTGTGCAGAGGACCCAGTGAAAAAAAATAAGTAAAGGGTTTTGAACGAGAATTAAATTAAAACAGTTTGTAAACCTTTAAGCCCTACCTCTCTCTTTGGGGCCTAGCCCAGTACTACCTCCCACAGGGGGCCCTTCTGGATTTCCTCAGTTGTTAATGTCTCCTTCCACACAAAGTATTTACTTCACACCTTCAGACTGGTGGTCATTCACCTCCAGCAGAATGTAAGCTTCTGTAAAAGAGTTATTTCTCCAGAACCTAGTCCAATGCTGACACATTCAACCAACCCACCCATCGATCAGCAAGTATTTATTAAGTGCTTACTATGGGCTAAGAATTGGGGCTACAAAGACAAGCAAAAACAGTCCCTCAGGGAGTTCACATTCTGTAAAAAATGTTTATTCTCTTTTGTATATCACCAAAATCTTCCCCAGTATCCTCTCCTCTCCCCCCCTCCCAGAGAGCTATGCCATATAAGAAATAATACGTTTAAAGACAAAAATTCAGCAAAACGGTTCTATCTATAGAAAACAGTCTAAAAATATATGCAATGTTTGTGAACCTCCCACCTCTGCGAAGGCGTGGGCTAAGGGTATCTTATCTCTTCTTTGGAACCATGTTTGTGCTTTGTAATTTTACTGTATTTTAACATTTTGGGTGGTGGTTCTTTCCACTTACATTGCTGTAATTTTCAGGGCTCCGCTCCATTTATTCTAGCACTTAGCACTGTACCTGGCATACAGTAGGTACTTAATACATGTGAGTTCACTGACTGACTGCATTGCTTCATACAGATCTTCTCACGCTTCTCAAACTCATCACTGTCCTCATTTCTTAGGGCTCGGTAATATTCTATTCAAATATCACAATCACACCCATGGACCACAATGGGCTTCTTAGACCCTTCTCCAATCCATGAGCAATTACTTTTTTCCCCCCAAGTTGTTTTTTTTTAAACCACAAAAAAAGGACGGCTATAAATACTTTGGTGTCTGTGGGGACTTTCTTGCTCATCAGTGGACTTCTTAGGATATAAATTTGTAAGGGAATCTTTGGTTCAAAGGGTATGGACATTTTAGTCCCTTTGTTTACATTAATTTCGAATTGCTTTCCTAACTGAATGTGCCAAGAAGCTCATATTTTGGTATGGAAGACGATCTGCAAATAACTAGACACGTGCATGATATATACAATGTAAACAGAAGTAAGTAATAGGAGGAAAGTACTAGTACTGGAGGAAGGGGAATACAGAAGGAAGGTTTCTTGCAAAAGGTGGGATTGCATTATCTTGGAACAAGCTAGGGCCTCAGACCAAACATTGACACTTACTAGCTGTGTGACCCTGGGCAAGTCACTTAACCCCAATTGCCTTTAAAAAAAAAAGCTAAGGAAGCTAAGGGTCAAAGGAGAGGCCGGACAGTGTTACAAGCACTGGCAACAACCAATGCAAAGGTCTGGAGTCTGGACATGGGAGTGTCCAGTTTGAGGAACTGGCAGGTCAGCGTACCCTGCACCTTATGGAGGATAATCAAATGTAAGAAGCCAGGAAAAGTAGGAAGGGGCCAGGCTTTGAGAGCTTTAAACACCAGATAATGAACTCTACACTAGATCCAGCTTGAAAGCCCAAGAGATCCTCAAGCCCCGCCCCTTTTGTGTGTGGTCTTCCCTAGCAGAACGAAAACCCCTGGAGAGTAGGGATTGATTGGTTTTCCTTTCTCAGTGCCGCCCCAAACGCTTAAGGCGATGCCTGGCATGCAGTAAATGTTTAATAAATGTCCCATCTGGTATACAGTCTCTCTGGACTAGCTACTGTAACTGTCGGAATGCCATCCCCATCTCCTTGAGGGTCACTTTCAGCCCAAGGCCCCACACTCATCCCTAATAATCCTAAAATGTGTGACGGCCGAGGACAGTAAGTGGCAACTACCCAAAGCCTTTTGCACCCACGCCCACAAATGCCCATTTTACAGAGGTAGAAGCTGAGGCCCGGAGAAGATAAATGACTAAGAAGGAAGAGCCGGGCTGGGATTCGAACTCACGTCCCTCCCATCCCCGAGGCGAGTCCTCGACTCCCCGCACCACGGCTGAGGGGGGGTCCCGATTCTCACCCTACACCACCTCCCCGAGCCCCGCCCGCCCGCAGCTCCGCCCGCGCACCCTCTGCCGTCCCCTGCGTGCTCACTTACGTCCCCCATCCACAGGGAGGCCGCCATGGCCGCGCGACCCCGCGCGGCCCGGGGCTCTCGGAGGCCGAGGCGCCGCCCGCGCACACACCAACTCCGCCTGCGCCACTGGGCATGCGCTGCCGCCACCGAGGGCGCATGCTCAGCGCCGCGTCCGCCCACGCTTCCCGGGGCAGGGGGCGGGGAGGGGCGGGGCGAAGCCAGACTCTGCACCGAGTGGGAGGGGCTTGGATGTTCCAGCCGGCCGACCTTTAGGGGCGGGGCCAGGCTTCCATTTCCTCCCGAGTGGGAGGGGCCGGAACGTGTTAACCAGTGTGCGCGTTTGGGGGCGGGGCTCGGCGAGGTTTCACTGATAAGAGGGGCCGGCATAGGGAGACTCTGCATCCGGGTGCAAGATAGGGCAAAGATTAGGTTGATGATTGATCGATTTTAATTTTTTTTATTTTTGGACTTAACAAACATCACATAATATGGGCCTTCCTATATGCCTAGTAGAACAGAAAAATAGGATAGAGGGATGTATATGAAACTGCAAGTCTCTATTAATTACCTATTATTAATTATCTACAATTTGCTTTTTCTTAGGACAGCTAGGTAAACAGAATGGATAGAGTGCCAAGCCTGGAATCAGGAAGTCTCATCTTCCCAAGTTCAAATCCAGCCTCAGACACTTGACTAGTTGTGTGACCCTGGACAAGTCACTTAGCCTTGTTTGCCTCAGTTTCCTCATCTGTAAAATGAGCTGGAGGAGGAAATGGGAAACCACTCAAAGAATGGGACGGGATTGAAAAAACACTGAACTGACTGCTTTTCTTAAGTACACAATAAAGCTGTCCTGCTTTTCAGTGATTCCTTCTGTTCTTGGTGCATTCTTAAAAAATGCTTCAATTGCTAAAAATTGTCTACGTGTAACTGGGAGAAAATAAACTATTATTTTAAAAATAATAAAAATGCTTCAATGCCTCTCCATCAATTAGGAAGGAGTCAAAGGATGGTCTTGTTACATACAGGGTGGGCCCAGGTAAGGCTGGATAATGTTTATTTATAAAGTACCCAATCAATCCAGTTGCGTCTTGCTCTCTCTGGCTATGCTTTACTGCTAGGCCCTGCCAGCACAGGTCCAGCCTCTAGGCCTTCATATTCACCCCAGGGCCTGCTCCAATGCTCTTGAGTAGGTTCTTCAAGTGGGCGATATCGTCCTGTGGAGGGTGCTGGAATCATCCAGGGGGGCTGTAATTTTTTGAAATGATGCAAATTTCAAAAACAAAACAAAAACCCTTGAAGGTTAAATAAAGTAGATTTCCAGGGGGTGCTGAGAAAATTTTTTAAAAGGGAGCCAAATAAGTTTGGGAATCTCATCTAGAGGGCATGCGGGAGCAGATTCTAGTATCTATCCCTATTTCTTTTCTGCCACCCACTTTGCACAATTAATTCCTCTCTAGACTACACTCTGGACTTTCTCTATCATCCTCCAGAAACCTCTTCAATCTGGAACCTCAGTCCAGCCCTGGAATTTACACATCAGTGCTGTTTTCCTCCATTAGAATGTAAGCTCCTTGAGGGTAAAAACTGTCTTTCTACTTGCATCTGTATTCTCAGTACCTACTAAGGTATCTGACACATAGCAAGCTCTAAATAATGCATGCTGACTGACTGAATTCCTGCCATCTGACAGGACTATCCCAGGGCCATATATGCCCCAGCGCGCTCCTGCCTACTTGAGAGAGGCTCCTAGGGTCCATGAGATACCTCACTGCCACCTATGAGGTACCTCCAGGTAGGACTTCGCACAGTCTAATCAATTGCATCCCTCAACGGATGTCTCCCCAACCACTGACATATTTCCTGGATTCTTTTTTCAGTGATTATAGCCTCCATATCCCAACCCCTAGTACATTCTCCACCCCATTGACTCTGAATCCCGTTCCCCATGGACAAACTTCCCATTACCTTCAAATTTAACCCTCCTCCTCTCCCAATGTCCCACTCCAGATCTGTCCCACTTTCTATGCTCATTGGAATGCCTGCTCTGTAATGAACAAACTTCCTTTCATCTTTAAGGGTTTCCTGTCTCTCCTTCCATCTTCTGGGTCTCACCAAGACTTGGCTCCATTCTGATGGCATGGCATCCCTTTCCAGAGCTGGCTACATTTTCATCATACCCCTTGACTCACTGGTTGTGGGTGGGGGAGTTGAAATACTCTCTATGGTCCACTGTCACTTCTAAATTTCCCATCTACCTCCATAACCCAGCAACCTTCTGTGAGGTTCATGCTGTCCAAATTTCTGACCCAATCCAGATTCTTATGTTCATTCACTATCCGTGCCCAGGGAACTCTTCCTTCCTCAATGAATTCAATGCCTGACTCAACCTTTCTCTCCTCCCCAACTCCTGTCCTCATACTAGAGGACTTCAATGTATGTACAGATGCTTCCTCAAATACCCTTAACATCCCAGTTCCTTAATCTACTAAATTCCCTTAACTTTCATGCCTTCACTCCATTTCAGCTAACTAGAGCTGGTCATGCTCTCAATCTTTTTTTTTTAATATAAATTTATTTATTTTTAGTTTTCAACATTTACTTCCACAAGATTTTGAGTTCCAAATTTTCACCCCATCTCGCCCCTCCCCCCACCCCAAGATGGCATGCATTCTGAATACCCCTTCCTCTAGTCTGCCTCTCTTCTATCTCTCCCCCCCTTCTCTTATCCCCTTCCCCTTCTATTTTCCTGTAGGGCAGGATAGACTTCTGTACCCCATTTCCTGTATTTCTTATTTCCCAGTTGCATGTGAAAACATTTTTTTTAAACATGTGCTTTTAAAACTTTGGGTTCCAAATCATACCCTCAATCTTGCCATCAGCCACAAATGTTGTACTTTTCATGGTTACGAACTCCACAATTCCTTTATCTGACCATTGTTTCATCATTCCATCTTTTGCTATAGCTTATATCCTCTCCTCCTGCTCTTTGTCTTCACTGTGGCTTCAGTTCAGGGGTGGCCCTCAATTCTTTCCCAAGCTATCCCAGTAGAGAGTGGGGTTGACAGCTTTGCACAGCCCTGCCTCACTTAAATCCAGTTCACATGCCAGTCAAGACATCACTCTCACGTTGGTCACTGGTCCTCTTCCAGAAGAAAGGACAAACAACAACCCCACTACTGGCTACTCTCCACTTTCCCTATCTCAACCTTTTCACTAATCAGTTCAATTCTACTGGATCTTCTATGTTTAATTCTATTCTAAACGTAAATGCCTTGTTCCCTTGTCCAGTCATCGACCACCCCTTACCCAACCTCAGCCTTGGACTGCCCTCACTCTCCTCATGTATATTCTATTCTGAATTTCTGCGATTCTGCTCTATCTTGGTTCTTCTACCTATCTGATTGATCCTTTTCATTCTCTTTCTTTCTCGATCTTCAACAATGTCAATGCCTATTAACTTTGGGAAAATGGAACAGTTCCCCCTCTCCCCCCAAGGCTGTTCTCTTGCCTTGTTCTCATCTAACTTGATGACCTCATAAGCTTCTATTTGTTCAATTATCTTCTCTATACAGATGATTTCCAGATCTATATATCTACCCCCTCGTCTCTTCTGAGGTTTAGTCCCACATCACCAACTGCCTTCTGAAATCTCAAACCAGATGTATTATAGGTATCTTAAATTCATTATATCAAAAACAGAATTCATTATCTTTTCCCCAAAACTCCTGTTCTTTGATATTGTTACATTAGTAATAATATTAGTAACATTCATATTACCATTGAGGGCATCATCATACTTTCACTCACCTAGGCTCACAAACTATGTGCCATCTTCTCCTTATAACGCCACATATCCAGTCTTTTAGACAAGCTTGTCATTTCTGTCTTCGTCATCATCTCTCCTACATGCCCTCTTCTCTTCATTCAGTCATCCCACTAATACAGGTTCTCATCACCTCCTAGACCATTGCAACAGCCTTCTATCTGTTCTCTCTGCCTCGTTTCTCCTCAGTCCAATCCATCTTTCACACAGACGCCAGTGATTTTTCTAAAACAAATTTGACCATTAACACTTACCACCCCCCCTTCCCCTTTGTATTTAATGAACTGTGATGGCGCCCTGTTACTGGAAGATCAAATGTGAAATTTCCTATTTGGTATTTAAAGCCCTCTATACTTTCCTCCCCTCTACACATTACAATCTAGCTAAAATGGTTGACTTGTTCTTTCTCACCTGCAACAGTCCGTCTTCTGATTCCATGAATTTCACAATAGTCATCCCCCAAACCTGGAATGCTCTCCTCCTTTCCTTCTGCATCCCAGATAGATGTCCTGGCTTCCTTCAAGATTCAGCTCGACTCTCACCCTGTTCAGGCCTTTCCCAGTCTGCCCTAGCACCCCACCTTTGAGATTCATTTTCATCTAATATATATATATATATATATCTCCTTATGTGGTTAGTTTGATGTGGTCCCACCCACTAGAATGTGGCATCCCTGAGGGCAGGGACCTTGTTTTTACCTTTCTTTGTATCCCCAGCACTTAGCAAAGTGCCTGACAGGTGGTACGTGCTTAATAAATGCCTACTGACTGATGCACAAGTGTTCTACATAAAATCTCAGGGAGGTGATTCAAGTACTATCTCCATTTTGGAGATGAGAAAATTGAGGCTTGCCAGGAGTGACACAAGGTAGAGAGTTGGAGCTAGTAATAATCAAACCCAAATCTTCTGACCTGGGTTGAGACTCTTTCACTAAACCAAGCTGCCTCCAACCGGATCAGAACATGCAGACTCATGAAAAACAGCGACGAACTTTTTAACAAAAGGAGACGCAAGAGGAACGGGAAGGAGACACCAAGCACAAGGCTCGTTATAATTTTGTCACATTTATGTATTTTTTGAAAAAATAATTTGGATTCCATGGTTTCATTGGGGATTTCATTCCTGTTTGTTTGTATTTGTGTTAGCCACTCTGTAATCGAAAATTATGGTAAGCAAAGAACACTTTCACAGATGTTGGGACCTCCTACCCCTTTGAGAGGGGTCAGAAAGATTATCTGGGTTTCACAGATGAAAAAACAGGAATCTCAAGTAATAGACTTATGGTTATTGACTTTTAGAAACTTGTTAGGTTAACCCTTTTAGCAACCTGCCCAAGGTCAACAAGTACTGAAAGAGTAAGCTAGGGCTCGAATCCACAACTTCTGACTCCAAATCTAGTGTTCTCTCACCCCATCCCACTGGCAGGCTTGGAGCTTCCTTCTTCCTATTCAGGCTCAGCCCCAAGTCCATCCCTAGCAGCCACTTGTCCAAAGACACCTTTATCACGTACCGAAGATCAGAAATTTTAAGCCAGATAATCTCTGGTGTATCAGGCCAGACCAAAAAGAGAGCAGAAAGCAAGGAAGTGATTGGCCACCCAAACACAAGGCTGTATCTTTCATAATGGCTCTCTCCCTGCCCTCCCCATCCTGGAGTCTTCATAGGGATATAACTAGAATTTATAATTTTCTCCCAATCTCTCAGGCTGCTTCTCAGGGAGAACCGAATAGGACCATTCAACATGGGAGCCCCCAATCTCTATTTTTCTTTTTAGGCAATTGGGGTTAAGTGACTTGTCCAGGGTCACACAGCTAGTTTAGTGTCTAGTGTTTGGTCTGAGGCTGGATTTGAACTCAGGTCCTCCTGACTTCAGGGCCAGTGCTCCCCAATCTCTAATCAACTATTTTGGAAATCCTCAAAACTTTATGGGAATCTAGGCATCATCAGTAGGTGAAGGGAGAGGATGACTTGAACGGATTAGAGATGTACTGCACAATACTTTGAGATCTACCGACCACTTTAGCTTTCTTGGTGAATCTGGCATCTCTCCTGGGGTTGGTTTTACTTGTAGGACTCTAATCTCTTCTGGCTGCCTGCATCAATTAAGTATTCTACACAAAGGCAGCATTCCTCAGCTGGAATGCCCTCCAGGACTTTGGACCCAGAGTCTGCCTGAATGATTTCCTCCTCTGGAAAATATAGGGGGTGAGATTAGATCTAAGGACATCTAAGGTCCCTTCTAGCTGTAAATGCTATGATCTCACGCATGCCTTGGGGCATCTACCTTCCCCCTGCTTAGCCAAATACTTAAGAATGAAAGTTGTAACACGTCTCTGTGATAACAACAGCCTGAGCAGATATTGTATTTTATGGTTTCTAAACTATCCTCTTAACATCCCTGGCAGGTAGATGGGACGAATGTGATTATCTGCATGTTGAGAGTAGGAAAAGCATAGGAAAGGAGAAAAATAGCTCAGGAGTTGGATTCAGTGGACCTTAGGTTCAAATCCTAACTCTACCAATGATTAGCTGTGACCTTAGTTAAGGCAGTAGACTTCTCTTGGCCTCCATTTCTACCCCTGTAAAATGAGGGGATTAGATGATGACTTCTGGTTCTAAATGACAGATCTCATGAAAATTGAGGCCCAGAAAAGTAAAAAATACTTGCCTAAAAACAGAAAGCCAAGTGTTAGGGTCAGAAGTCTTAAGCCAGATCTTCTGACCCAAGATGGAGCTTCCCTGGTACTACCCAAGCACCTGAGCAATGAATGAGGATGGGCCCTGCAGCACCAGACAAGTGTGACTTCAGGGGGTATTCATTTTTAAGGACTGCCAACCCCAGGACTGTCTGTAAAGCTCATCTGAGGCCAAAAGATCCAGGGAATCAGTCATCTTAGATGCTAAGATTCAGACAGACATAGAATGCTCCCTTCCCCCTGCCCTCACTGCAAACTTTACCTCTTTATGGAGCAAAGACGAGAATAGACCAGTTCCTTTAAAAAAAAGAAAAAAAGAAAAAAAAACACCTCAAAATTTATTCAGTGTTAAAAGATCTTACTCTCCCTGACCAAAATACTTTAAACACTCTTTTAAAAAAAAACTATTTTCTGAGCTACTGTACAAATTAATGTACCCCTCCCTCAAGGACCAGCCCCCCCAACCTCCCTTACCTACACACCCCTCCCATTTTCATATTATTATAAATTAATTTATAAAAAGGTAGTTCTCCTTCCCAGAAAAACACAATTTCCATTCGTGGCATTTGGAATCTGGCTGCAAGAAGTCAGTGGGTGACGTGGCATCAGACCAGTCTGTGGGGAAGGATGAATGAGGACTGCTTAGGCCTCGCTGGGGTGTGGGAAATACCACTCGATTCCTTTTCTTGGCCAACTGGGTCTGCCTTGCCTTGCTTCTGTGGCCTGGACACTCACTGTCCTGGAGGAAGCTGTGAGCCCAAGGGGAGTGCCTAGGTCCACAACCTGAGACCCACCATCCACCCATCTAGTGTCTTCCTTGCCCAGGCCAGGCCCCTTCCTGGGGGAAGACTGAGGTTCTGGGGAGCAACCTTGGCTCAGTTCCCCTTCTGGCAAGCAGGTAAGCCTTGTCCTTAACTGACAGCCCCAGATGGATGGGGAAGGGGCTGACAACATAACAGTTGTGGCTACAGGAACTGAGGGAACAAAGCCAGTTGAACAACTGTGAGCATTCTGATGACTTTAAGTCATGTGGACTGGACACCCCCAGGGAGAAAATGCTGACTTCTCAGTGGTGTGGTGGGGGTGGGGAGAGGCACAGTGGAAGACAGGACCCATGGGGGCTCCAACCACATTCTTCCAGTGAACATGAACCCAAAGTCAAAGGGAGGCCAGGGTGAAGGGGCCTGAAGGGGGATGAGGATCAGACAGACAAGAGAGCAGTGGCTCTGGGGTGGGAAATGTCCATTCATTCATTCCTTGCGTATTTTAATGCAATCCCTTCATCTTGATGTTCACAAGACAATTCCCTAAAAGAGCCAAGATTCCATTTCTGCTGCTGGAGGGCAGGTAAAGGTTTGTAGATGGAGGTTTTCTGCTGACAGCTGAAGGAGTCCTATCTTTCCCATGGAGGAGGGGGGAGGGAGAGCAGACAGTTTCATTAAGGGTTTCATCAACTCTGCTCCTTGTTTCTGACCAGTAAGACCGTGTGCTGCCCCCCACTGGACACTGACAGAACGACCCGGTTCTCCAGCTGTTTGCCTGCCATCACCACTGGGCTCCAGACATCATCATCCTCTCCTGTGCCCAGCTGAAAGTTGGTGCCCATGCCCCAGGCAAATGCTCGGCCTGTGGGGAGAGGAGAGAAAGAAAGGTGAGTGCCTTGTCCCCCCACCCCAAATTCCCACCCAAGCTCCACACTCACACCCAGTAGGCCTGAGACGCCCAGTCCTCTCCCAGTCCTCGAGCCACATGGTCTCACCCTCAGAGGGAATGCACTCACTGTAAGACTCTGCACAGACATGATCTCCCCAGAACTCCACGAGGTCCCGTGGGTTACACAGGCCCAGACAGTTTGTCTATTCGCTCCCCAGCCCCCCAGTTCCAACGCCATAATACGCCATCCTAACCACAAGACACAGACCACCGAATCCACGCTCCAGACACAGACGCAGCAGGACTTCCAGCTCTCACGGCTGCCCGCCGCCTGTGACACGGTTCCTCGGAGCTCCCTAAGCCCAGCATTTAGGGCGCCCCAGCCCTATTTCCATCTCCTCCTCCACGAGGACCTTTGGCTCCCATCGGGCCAGCCTGCTCTCTGCTCCCTCACAGCCTTTGTGTCCTCCTCGAAGGAGCAGGAAGAAACCTTAGAGGGCATGTAGTCCAACTGTCTCATTTCTACGAAAAGCAAATAAAACACCTACGAAGCCAGACTTACTGATACTAATTTCTTTCCTTTTTTTTTCGGGGGGGGGTGCAGTTGGCAGGCTGTGGTGCTAAGATATGGGAATGTGGCCACTTTCTTTCTTTCTTAGGCGTTGGGGTGAAGTGACTTGCCCAGGGTCACACATTTATTAAGTACGAAGTGTTTGGTCTGAGGCTGGATTTGAACTCAGGTCCTCCTGAATCCAGGGCCAGTGCTCTACCTGCCCCCTCCACTGTCTACTCCTGCTGCTGGGACACTGACACCCCACAATCCTTGCCTGGACTCTAATCACAAACGGCCCCAAATTCGTGTTTTCACAAATGTTTGGGCCGTAAGCTCCTGAAAGGCAAAGACTGGATTTGGATAGTGTCGCCCAACCCCCGTTAGCAGGAGGGCTTGCTGAGCGACTACCAGACTGCCCCCCACTCACCATCCTCGGCTACGGCATAGCCAACCGAGGCACCGCAGGCGACGGATGAGGCGGGAGGCAGTTTCGGAATGAGGGTTGGACTGCTCTTCTCCTCGGCTCCTGCCCCCAGGCCCAGACGCCCGTACTCGGCCCTGCCCAGGCTGTACACTTTACCTGTGGCCAGGGAAGAATCACAGACACGTGAGAAGCAGAGGCTGACGCCGCCAGAGCCTGCCCCGCCCCCACCCCCCAAGCCTTGGTCTATCCTTCCTTCTGTGGTTTCAGGGAAGCGGCAGGAAGAGGGAAAGCCTGGTGCCTGCCTCCTTCAAGGGTGTGATCACACTGAAGAAGGAAGGACCAATCAGCATTACTGGCGGGATTCAGCTGCGAAGTCACGAGGAACTACCTCTCCCACATCCCTCAGCCTTATCGCCTGAGGAACTCTGGAGAAGCCTGGGGAGGAGGGCAAATGGAGACGAGGGAGGGACAGTGAGATGGTAAGAGGGGGAGAGGGGGAGCGAGAGAGAGGTCCTCCCCACCCTTGTACTTGTATCTCAGCAGCTGGCACTGTCTGGCACACAGGAGGTGGCTAATAAAGTACTTGTGGGCTGCTTCATTGACCTTGCAAACCCACTGACTAATACTCTGACCCGTGGGGGCCCCCCCCAAAGCAGCTTACCTTCCGAGTCCAAGCAAACTGTGTGATGCTGCCCTCCAGAGAAGCCCACCCAGGACTTGGTGGAGTTCTTGAACGACGTTAGATTCTGGGGAGCAAAGCAAGGCTCCGTGCTTGGAGTACCTGGGGGGAGACCCCGAGCCACATGGTCAGGCGTGAGTCTTGCGGCCCCTTCCGACCCTCCCCAGGGACCTGAGAGCACATGGCTACAACTTCTCCTGGTGGGATCTAAAGGGCCAGTGTGCAGAGCAGCTACAGACAAACTGGGCAAGCTGGGAAAAGCCCCACCCGGGCCTAAGACCGGGAAGCACAGTGCCTAATTTCGCCAGCACAGGTTCTTCACTCTTGTTTTATAGAACCCTTTGGCAATGTCTGATGAAGCTTCCTGACCCCTTCTCAGAATAACACCTTTAAATGTACAAGAGTAAAATATGGAGGATCATAAAGGAAACCAATTCTATTGAAATGCAGTTATCAAAATAGAAGCAGCAGCCCAAGTTTATGGACCTCAGGTTAAGAACTCCTATCCTATAGGGACCTAGATATCCTATCAGGGAGAGAAGGATGGAGGCCGTTTCCTGATGTCGGCTCTGCCCCATTCGATCCCTCTGACCTCCCAATCCTGCCACGATTTTCTTCTCCTGATAGCTTCCACATTACATAACAGTCTTTGTTCTCTGTGTCCAGAGACTTCAGCCCCGCTTCCAGAAGGAATGGAGGCCCTAGAAACACATACTAACATCGTTAACCGATCTCACAAAAATGTGGCGTTAGGTAAAACAACATTACCAGGGCCAGTGAGTTCCATGAAAACAATGCCATGAAAGGGAGATGCGATCCTGGGCAGCTAAAATTCATACCATCAAGCCTAAAACGTAGGGCTTTCCCAAGGCCCGGGACTATGTCTTAGGAATTAAAAGACTAGGTTTGAGCAACGAGGGGCTGGGGAGGACAGGGAGGAAAGTCCAGCGCACTCTCAGGGACTTAGAACATATTAACAGTGAGACTGTTTTTTCAATGACGGTCTGTTTGACGCTCAACATCACAACTGCAATTGATTGCTTTGCACTAGCAACCCCATGCAGAATCTCTGCAGAGCGGTAGCTCTTAAGCCGGGGTCCACAGAGTGCCAAGGAGTCTGTGAATATGGGTGGAAAAATAACACATCCTTATTTTCATTAACCTTTAAGTGAAATATAACATTTCCTTCTACACTGAACGCAGGCAACAAACCATGGGGGGTATAAGCGACACCTCTGACTTTGTTGCCAACAGAAATAAATCACAAACAAAAAGCTTCACACTGGGGCAGCCGGGTGGCGCAGTGGATAGAGTGCCGGCCCTGAAGTCAGGAGGACCTGGGTTCAAATCCGACCTCAGACCAAACACTTGACATTTACTAGCTGTGTGACCCTGGGCAAGTCACTTACCCCCAACTGCCTAAAACCAAAAAACAAACAAACAAACAAACAAAAAAGCTTCAAACTGATGTATCTTTAAAAGACAAATTTTACCTTTAACTCGCCCACATTTGAAATGTGTTCTTGTTACTTAACGTACTAATAAAGAACCATATATGACTATACCACAAATTTGCTTTTTAAAAAATTATTTCAATAAACGTGTTTCAATATAACTTGTTTCCCTTATCACCCAATTTATTTTATTTTACACATTTAAATACATCATTCTGAGAAGGGGTCCACCAGTCTCCAGTCTGCCCAAGTAGGAGAAGGAGGTCCTTAACACAAAAACTGCTGAGAAGCTGGAGAATCAGCCTCTCACAGCTATGGCCAATGGAAATCCCCAGCCTGGCTTCCTTTCCTGGCTGGCTCAGCCCCAGCTCCTTCCCCATGGTACCCAGCCCCTGAGAGCTGCAAGAGACAAAGAGTGCTGGGTATTTGCATGTGGAGCCTGACAGACTGGAGAAGTCAGACTGGCCACACTGCCAATGGGAGCCTGTACTCCAAAGCCAATCCAGCATGCAAGGTACAAAGACCTCTGGAAGAAGAGGGCTTGGGTTCAAATCCCATCACTGATGGCACTAGCTGTATGACTTTCAGCAAGTCACATAACCTGCAAGGGCTCCAGTTTCCTTATCAGTAAAATGAGAGCGCTTGCCTCTGAAGCTCCTTCCTGGACCCCATGATTATATCCTGTCACCTCCTGAAGGGTGTCACTGAGAGCCAATGGGCCTCAGTAGGACTTGGAGAAAGAAAGAAGGTGGCGGAGCAGATGGACAGGGCCCAGGGCAGGTCCAGTCCTTGGATAAGCTACGGGCAGAACAGGGGATATCTCAGGTGCCTGCGCCAGAGACCCCTTTCCACAAAGGGTCCTCAGACTCACCAAGCTGGTGGTAGTTGGAAAGGCCAAAGCCGTAAACGTGGCCCTCACGGCTGACGGCAAAGGTGAAATAGGCACCACAGAAAGCGTCCTGGAAGAGGACGGAGCCCCGCTGACCCTTGCACTTTAGCAGCACACACTAGGGGACCAGCAGTCGCTCTGGATGGGGAAGAAGCAGAGCATGGGCAACAGGGAGAAAATGGGGGGGGGGGGCGGCGGCAGAAGGGCGAATACAGACACATCCTCTTTGGCCACCTATGAGGTGTCCTGCGGGACACTCTATTCACTCCTGGGCAGTAAGAGAACTTAGGGACCAGAACCTCCCCCACCCTCCTCAGTTTCAACCCTATGGACTAGAGATTGGTCATTTCAGTCCAGATACTGAATTCCACCCCACCACTTCCTGCCGTACATAATCCCAAAAAGGTCTAATGTATTGGGCCAAAGGATTTTTGACTACTGTGGCTCGCCCCAAAGAATACAGAAGGACGTGCTTCGTGGAGCTGTCTGTGCCCTGGCCAACGCCTCCTGCTGTATGTATATTAATAACCCTCCACAGGTGGAGCTCAATAGGACTAGAGAAAGCCACCTGGATGTGAGACATCCATGAAAACCTTAGTACATACACCAGGGTCAGCCTCTTCTTGGGGATCCTGGCTTCTCTCTCTGTTAACTACTATTCTTATCCCACTCCTGATTATATTCCTTTTACTTCTTTTTGGCCCTTATCTGCTTAATCTTCTTGTCATATTTATCTCCTCTAGGCTCAGTGCCCTCCACTTCCAGTTGACTGCTCAGGCTGGGTACCAACCCCTGTCCGAGGCCACAACCCATCACCCTCTGGACCTTGCATCAGCCAAGTTCTGGACACTGGTTAAAGCACCAAGTCTTTGACTAGAGGGACCCAGGAGGCAGGGACAGCTCTATACCCAATCCCAGCAGGAAGCAGTTGCAGAAGCCGAGAACTTCATCCCTCACCCCAAAAGATTTTGGGTCCCATCTGTTTCAGGGGGGAATGATGGGGTGCTTGTGCTTCTACCCCAATTTCTCCCTAGTCTCAGAAACACTGTCTCTGACAATCACTCCCCAGCCCAAGGACACTGTGCCTAGCAATTACTCATGTGTGGGCCACAGCAGGACCCTTATCTCTCTCCCTGGTACAGCTACACAAAGCTGGGTGAGAAAGTGCTGGGCTGCTCAGGCCCCAGCCCTCAGATCACGTCTCTGGAATCCTCCTAATTCCTTAGTAAGTTCCTGTCTTGTGAGGAAGCCTTCCCTTGTTGCAGAGCATTCTCTCATCAAGACAGAGGGAGAGGGGTGCCTTGCCCAGCCCAAGGAGCTTTGTCCTTGGCCCAAGGACTCTTCCTCCTGCCAGACTCCCAAGATCCATACCTCTGTCATCTCCCTCCCTGTCTGGTATACTCCTTGTACTTTCCCATCCATAGCTCCCAAAGACACCTGGACCTTTATATTATCTAATCAGTATCCCTGGCATTCCTTTCCCATGTCTTTTTCCATATAAACCCTAGCTCCATCATCAGTCTCTTGCAGGTTCCTTAGGAATCCTTGCCTGCTGAAAAGCGTAACAATAAATCTTTGCCACCTTGACTTAAAAGAAAAAAAAAAGAATACAGAAGGATGGTGAAGGAGGTGGGAGGAATACCCAGCTAAGGAAGAGTCAGGAGATGCTGTCCAGAACCTATGAGATCCCATGGAAAAAGCAGGATTCGGTCCTGTCCTTAGGGCCGACTCTGCCTGCACCAAAACCTGACCAAAGGAAGGCAGCCCAAGTCACTTACCAAGGCCTTTCCGGCCCCCACGGTTGGCGAAGAACTCGGGCACCCGGCCCAGCTGGCCCTGCTCCCCGCAGCCGGACGTGTACAGGTTGCCGTCCACCGTCAGCATCACCAGGTGGTCGTTGCCTGGGGGAGAGAAAGGAGAAGCTAGAGCCTCTGAGGCAGCCAAGGCTGTGCCCGTGCAAACCCCAGGGAGGGGCCAAGGGGTCACCTGGGGAGGCTCTTTCTGCTAGCCTGAGGTATACAGGCCTACCACTAATCTCCTGTGTGACCCTGGGTCAGTCCTCTTCCCTCTCTGGGCCTCTTTCACCTGTAAAATGAGCAGGTTGGGCTAAATGGTCTCCAATGCCCCTCCCAGCTCAGACATCCTGTGTTCTAAGGGCCCTCTCAGCTCTGTCATTCTGTTTTCTAAGGGCCCTCTCAGTTCTGACATTCTGTGTTCTAAGGGCCCTCTCAGCTCCGTCATTCTGTGTTCTAAGGGCCCTCTCAGTTCTGACATTCTGCGATCCTACAGATTCTTGGTCCCCAGGCCATTTTATGGTTCTACAAATTCTCGGTCCTGCTAGGGGCTAGGGTGCATTCAGGGTTCTGCACTTACCTGATGCCACCTTGATCACAGGCACCTCGAGCTGGACTTGTACAGGGACCATGCTTTTCTTCATGGGCTCCAGGAGGCCGATGACTCCATTATTGTCCTGGGGGTGGGAGTGGGAGGTGACACGTTACTTCTTCCGTGCCTGCTCCTTCCTCCTCCACTAGGCTCTCTCCCTGGACTTCCTTCATTCTTGCCGGCCTGCTGGCCCCTCCCCACCGCAGCCAGCACACTTAGAGTCTGAAGTACCCCTCTCCTTCTGCTTGCCCCACACCTCCTCCCTCCCCTGTTAAATCCCAGCTCTGATCCAGCAACTATACGAAGCATCCTCAGGCGGATCACGCTGGAGAACAGTTTGCAACAACACTAGAAATTATGCCTAATCTTGAGTGCAGCAGTCCTACAGATGGGCGGGCAGCAGCTTGCCTTTACAGAACACCTGAAAGTTTTCGAGGGGCTTTGCAGACATCCTATCATCTGATCCTTCTGCCAGGCTCTGGAGGGTAGTCTGAAGCAGAAATCGATCCCCCCCCACTGCCAGTCCATCACTCTGTACCCTTTACCACGCCCCCCCCTCGATATACACCATGGGAGTCAAGTTCAGAGGCCCACCCCGTGGACGAATATCAGCAGTGGCACCATTTATGGTAGCAAAAACCAAAGCAGCAGCTGTAACGTGCGAGGCCAGAGGCTGAGGAAGGACTGACTGCTCCAAGGGTGGCAAGCAATAAGTATGCAAGGATGAGGGTTTTTACTGTGCCACTGAAGTGACTAATCTGAGGAGCTCAATGAAATGAAGGGAAACTCATGATACACAGTGAAGATACATCAGAGGTGTCAACGGCAGCGCAGCCAGAACCAGAGTGATATGTAATTGGAAAACGCTTAACAAAATCGATAAAAACACCATACAGACAATACTGATTTCCGGTTTTCTAAGTCAATATGGGACCCACGGGGATTTCCTTCTATTTGAATTTGACGCCTCTGATTTACATAATGACTCCATTAATATAAAGGAAAACAATACGAAAACCACAGTAACTTGGATCAAAGCAGGAATACATCTTGACTGGAATTAGAATTCTTTGTCACGAGAGAGAGTCATTTGGAAGTGTGATAGCAATGTAATAAAAAGAAACATCAATAAACCGTTTTGATATATCAACCAAAAAAGCTCACAGGAAGCATTCCAGAACTGTCCCCTTCTAAAGCCTGCAATGCCCCTATTTTCCAAACCCTCTGGATAAGGATACTTCAACACTCACGGATTTTCTACCTATTTACCCACCTGCCCACTGGATTGGAAACCCCTTAAGGTTAAAGATGAGATTTCAACTACGACCTAAATCTCTTCTTACCGTCCTGCCTAGAGGGTGGTCCTTTGACCTGAGAGACAATTCACATGTAGTCAAAAGAACACTAGTCTGTACAGAGTTAGGAGAGCTGGGTTCTAGGACCTGGCCCAGGCTCTGTCACCAGCTTGGCACATGACCCTGAGTTGTGCACCAATCACTTTCGCTCTCTGGGTTTCAGATTCCTCAATTGCAAAATAAAAAGGTGGAATGAGATCTTTCTCCCTGTCACTACCACTAGCCACGATACCTCACCTCCCCCAAACCTTGTCTTACTTCCAAGGACCCCAGGTGGTGGTGGCCTTACCCGGAAGGAGCCCCAGAGGAAAACTCGCCCATCCTCAGTCAGTGCTGCAGTGTGACTGTCCCCAGCTGAAACCTGCACCACCTTCTCTGACAGATTCACTACCCCTGGGATGGTTTCTGATCCCTCTATGCTGGTGTCCCTTCCGAGGGCGCCCTCATCATTGCAGCCAAAGGTGTAGACCTGTACCGGGAACACAAGCCCAGTTGTCAATCCCAGACAGGAGGGCTCTGTGCCACGGGTTGGGTGTTTACCATCATGCATTCTGGGTGGGTGGCTGAGAAGGGTGGGTTCATTTGGGCCCACTTGGGCCTATCGGCTCAAACACAGTTAGCCATTGCTCTGGCCACAGTGGAACCATACCAGTGGCCATGGATGGGTCACTGCTAGGAAGACTACTCAATGGAGTTGAAAGGTAGGTGTGGGGAAGGAGATGAGCAACGCTGCACTCCTTCGTCTACCCCAATATCTGGGATATTTTTCTCACTCCCCACTTGTTTGCTCCTTTGCATACTCACTTGACCACTCTTGCCCAGACACACAGTGTGCATCCCTCCGGCCTCAGCCTGCACAATGCCTTCAGGCATGGAGACTAGGGCCGGCCGCTTCCTCTCCATCACATCCTCGCCGAGCCCCAGCTGACCTACATCCCCCTGGCCCAGGGTCAGCACCAAGCCTGCTTCTGTTCGGTGAGACCTGTGGCAGACTGGAGCCCCAGGAGGCAGGGGAGGAGATAAAAAAAAGAAGGAAATGCTCAGAGGACAAGAGAGCTCACTTTTCCTGCACCAGCCAAGGCTCCCAGCTTCTGGCCAGGAGCCTTTGTAGAAAAGCAGTTCTGAAGAGAAGCCCAAAGCCCCTTCTATTTGGGCTTGGAAGAGATGGAGCTGTGGACAATGGTGTGGGAGCCAGCAAACTAGAATCCTACTTACTAGTTCTCATTATTTTGGGTGGCTTTATTTTCCTAACTGTCTTTATCTTGGATTAATATGGCCCAAGGCTCCTTGACAATCCAGAGATCACGGGTGTGGGAAGGAGCCAGTCACAAAGCAGAAAACTGAAAGTTAATTACAGTCCAGGGCAATGGAAGGTGTGGCAAGGTCCAGGCTGAGTCCCAAAGTCCAGGCCCGGGGAGTGTTGTTAGAAGTCCAAGGCAGTGGGGAGAGTAAAGGTATGGAGGCAGGAAATCAGGAGGGTGGCCCTAACCCCGTGTTCCGCGCAGGGAGCTCAGAGCCTGCATTGGACATAGCCACACACCCAGTCAAATGTGGCTGAAAGCTTCTGTGGGCTGGTTAGGACCCCGACTCCTCTTATGACCCCAAAAACTATTACAAAGAAAGCTCATTCACAAAAACCCCCAAAACCAACCCTCTCTCTCCCCCCTTCAATCCATTCCCTAGTCTGGGAACAGATTAAGACAGGTGAAAGGACACACCCGTCTCAGGTAGTCGAGGGGCAGAAAGGAGGTGGGAGTCAAGGGGAGATGATCATGAGTACTGGACCTCCTTCTGATGGTCCTGCCTCCATCATGGGTGACCTTCAGCAAGCCACTGTCTCATTCACCCTCAGCTGCTTGTTTGTAAAATGGGAACAACGATGCTCACACTATCTCCTCCTTGTAAGGCCAGCATTTTGCCAAAGGTTCCACAGAGGCGTCATCTCCAAGATGCAGTGCCCCCTACCACCCCAACCACTCACACCCTCTGTCATTTGCTACGTCTAGAACCAGGCAGGCCTAGGCATGGGACAGGGCAGGGAGCTGGAACGTGGGGGGAGGAAAGACAAGGGCAAGCCGCGGCTGCCCCCTTTCTCCCCCTAAGCCCAGAGGGTAGGGATCAGTTGAGCTGTACTTTGGAAGGACTGAGGCCAGGCGAGGAGCGGGCAGGGCAGGGATGAGCATCAGCAAGTTACAGCTCTTACTTGTGCCTGGTGGATTGGCATCTGCCCCAGTGTTAGGAAGAAACAGACAGAGCCTGAGTTTATCAACTGCTGAGAAGCCAGACAGCCCAGGGGCAGTATTCCTTGTCCTTCCCTCCCACCTCCTGTGCTCACAGAACCAACCCACCCTGGCTGGCCCCGGAATATCTCAGCCCCCCTCCCCCGCCTCCTACAACCCTCCCCAAAAACCAGGCAAAGAGAGAGGCCTGTACAGTGTGTATGTGGTATAATGAAGAGATGCCCCTCTTTATGTACCCTAAGCGGGGCAAGGTGGAAAGAATCTGAAGTAGGGACCAAGGAGACCAGGGTTCAAGTCCTGCCTCTGGCATCTGTGTGACACTGGCAAAGTCATCTCCCCTCCAAGGTCTTCAGTTTCTTCATCTATACAATGAGGGAATTGGACTGGGATAGTTTCTAAGAACCCATTCTGTGTCCCAAGGGCCCTCCCAGCTCTGACACTCTGTGTTCCAAGGACCCTCCCAGCTCTGACACTCTGTGTTCCAAGGACCCTCCCAGCTCTGACATCCTGTGCTCTAAGAGCCCTCCCAGCTCTGACACCCTGTGTTCTAAGGGCCCTTCCCAGCTCTGACATCCTGTGTTCCAAGGGCCCTCCCAGCTCTGACATCCTGTGTTCTAAGGGCCCTTTCAGCTCTGACACCTTCTGTTCTAAAATCCCAAGATTCCATGACTCCCTGTTAGCTCCACCTGTCTTAAGCAGCAAGCTTTCCTTTCCCCTCCCTCCCCATCTCTGCCTCAGTGGCTGAGGCATCAGAAAGCTCCCCAGCTTCAGTTCCTAACCCACCCGACCAGGGAAGCTAAGGGTCCATAGGGCAGCAGCATCAAACATTCCCAAGAGTGGGCAGTTAGGTGGCACAGTGGATAGAGCACCGGCCCTGAAGTCAGGAGGACCTGAGTTCAAATCCGGCCTCAGACCAAACACTTGACACTTACGAGCTGTGTGACCCTGGGCAAGTCACTTAACCCCAATTGCCTAAAAGCAAAAAAAACAAAGAGTGGCTACTGCACTGGGGGCACCAAGATGGCATGATGTAACAGAGAGGTCTCCCACAGGTACCCTGTGGATCCCTTACCCTGATGTGTGCACGTGGGCCTTGCCCTCCCCTCTCAGCAGAGTGGTAAGCTCCTTGAGGGCAGTATCGTTTTGTGGTCATTTCTGTGTCCCTAGCATAGTATCTGGCATTCAGCAGGCAGTTAATAATGGTTCATTCAAATGAATTACCTTTTACTTTTTTGCTCTCTGTAGTGGCATTTTCTTCTGGAGGATTTCTCTTGTTCAAGCGTTTGGCTGGCATGTTGGAGACCTGAAAAAATCAAAGCCAAGGCCTTATTAATCACTGGCACTCCCAATAACACATCTGGGCCTTGTGTAAGGCAAGGAGAGTGGGAGGACCCAGGCTGTCTAATTTGCAAGAGACTCTGGGTATTTAGGAGTGAAAATGAGGGAATGAAAGGTCTCTAAGCAAGGATGGGGACTGAAGACAAGCTTGTCAATGCTGGTTCTTGTTGAGGGCGTTAGCAAAGTGATGATCACCATGGCAACCAGGCCTGGACCCCCAGCTACAGAGCAAAGCAGGAATGGCAGAAAGACATGCCTTGTCTTCCATAACTGCTGGAATCGTGTACTGGTCCGTCCATTTTGGAAAGAAAGGCCAGTAGAAATTATGCTCAAACAGTGACCTAACAAGGAAGAGGAGAAAGGAGATTCTCAGAAGAACTGCCAATGCCAACTACCCCAAGAAAAACTGCTTGGAATTATTAACAGAAATGCAAATCAGAACAACTCTAAGGTTTCCTCTCACACTCCAGAAACTGGCAAAGAGGACAAAGGACGGCCAATAGTCAATGCTGGAGGGGCTTCAGGAGGACAGGGACTGGGGGTGGAGCTGTGGACTGGTCCAAGCACTCTGGAAAGCAATTTGGAGGGATGCAGGTCTTCCTAGCTCCACAGCCAGCTGTCTATGAGCTAACACAGGGGCTCCACCAAAAAAAGAAAAAAGAAAAAAAAGGGCAATATTATTGTGCTGTAAGAAATGACAAGCAGATTCATTATAGAAAAACATGGCAAGACTCGAATGAAATAATGCAGAACGAAATGAGCAGAACCAAGAGAATTTTGTATAGGGTAATAGCAATCTTGTTCGAAGAAAAACTGTGAAAAGACTAAGCTATTCTGAGCAATATGATCATTCAAATCAACTACAAAGGACTTATGAAGGAAGATGCTATCCACCTGCAGAGAAAAGAAGTATGTATTGTATGATTCCACATATACATCCATATCAAATGTTGGCCTTCTCTAATGTGGGACTGGGACGCAGACAACTCGAAACTCAAAATGAAAGAAAAAAAATAAATACCAAAGAATATTTACAGCTGTACTTTTGGGAGGCAGCAAAATTAAAAGTAAACAAGCTGTGGAACACAAATACTACAGAATCATAAGAAACAGGGAATACAAGGAATTCAGTGGAATTTGTGAAGACTTAGAAGAGCTGTAGGCTGACGCAGGATGAAGTAAACAGACCCCAGAGAATGCTGGATAACCATAACCTCCACAACAGCCGGGGAAATGCCAGAAGAGACATCAGAATTGACACTGGGGCAGTGACCAATTCCGACTCCAGAGGACTGATCTGGCCAGAGATGGTGGACTACAGGCTTGATATGGGGCACACGCTATCAAGACAAGGTCAATGGTTAGGTCTGTTTTGCTCAATTGCGTTGTTTTTTGTTTTGTTTTGTTTTTTACTTCCAAGAGAGGAGGGATGGGATAGTGAGAAGAGACAGCAACGTTGAAAACCAGCATCAGCACTTTTAATATTTTTTTAAAATTTATTTTGAATTATCAACAATCACTTCTGGTTTATCAAATAATAGATTACTATAGTCATTGACTACTGTGTCTTTCATACTTACCCTATTTCACTGATCTACCACTCTATTTCTTAGCCAGTACCAAGCAGTTTTGATGATTGCTGCTTTATAATACAATTTAAGATCTGGTATGGCCAGACCACCTTCCTTAGCATTTCTTTTCATTAGTTCCCTTGATATTCTGGACCTTTTGTTCTTCCAAATGAATCTTGTTATTATTTTTTCTAACTCTATAAAGTAATTTTTTGGTAGTTTGATTGGTATGGCACTGAATAAGTAAATTAGCTTAGGTAGAATTCTCATTTTTATTATATTAGCTCGGCCTACCCATGAGCAACTGATGTTTTTCCAGTTATTTAGATCTGACTTTATTTGTGTGAAAAGTGTTTTGTAATCGTGTTCATACAGTCCCTGGGTTTGTTTCAGGAGGTAGACTCCTAAATATTTTATAATGTCTACAGTAACTTTAAATGGAATTTCTCTATCTCTTGCTGTTGGGCTTTGTTGGTAATATATAGAAATGCTGATGATTTATGTGGGTTTATTTTATAGCCTGCAACTTTGCTAAAGTTGTTTATTATTTCAAGTAGTTTTTTACTTGATTCTCTAGGATTCTCTAAGTATATCATCATGTCATCTGCAAAGAGTGATAGCTTTGTTTCGTCTTCGCCTATTATAATACCTTCAATCTCTTTTTCTTCTCTTACTGCTACACTTTTAATATTTCTTAATCAAGGCTGAGTATGACCAGGCCGGGTCTCCATCTACTACGCCATGATGCTGCCTCTCTCTATGATGATCCTAATTGCAACGTCAATGGGGCTTTAAGGTTTATGAAACACTTTACTCACAACAACCCAGGCAGTACAAGCAAACATCATCTCCATCTCACAGAAAACCTCAGTTCTGAGGTGCAGGGACTTGTCTAGAGCTAACGAGCATCTGAGCTGCATTCTGGTATAATGGGACTCCAAAAAGAGCATGCTTCCTCCCTTCATCAAGTCAGTTGGCCGTCCATCTGCCCCTGACAGATGGGCCCTGGGGCAGTCAATCCACCCATCTTTGGAACTCCAGTCCTAGGATTCAGCTGTCTAGACTGGGGAGTGAGAACAAACTCATCTTGTCTACTTTGTCTGGCTGGTCCCAGAGAAGGCTTGCCATCCCAACCAACTGGTCATCTCGCACCCACCCCACTGCTGTCATTTTCAGGCTCTCTCTACTTCCTGCTCTGGGCAGAATCAAATCAATATCATCATTAATTCTGAAAAGAGCACATTAATCAGCCATCCAGTGGATCAACTAATCTTCCAAGAACACTCTCCTATTATGTAGTTTCCCCCATTAGAAAGTAAGGTCCTTGACTGTCTCACCTTTGAATGGGTATTCCAAGACTTTACTAAAGTGTTTTAAGGGTTTACCAAATGCTCCTCCACTCGTTCCCTCCCTTTTTTCCTCTCCTAGACTGCTTCGAAACCTCCCCTATCTTCTTAGAAGAAGACACTTGACTCATGGGGCTACTTTCTCCTTACCTACTAAGTCTAAAAAGTAGAGAAAGAATAACTTTGGCCAAACCCATTCTCTGAACTCATCTGTAAGGCATAATTATCAATAATAACAACATTTACGTGACACTATGTGCGAGGCATTGAGCTAAGTGCTTTACAAATATTATCTCATCTGATTCTCACAAAACTATGGTACTTATTACTCCTCCATTTTACAGTTGAGGAAACAGAGGCAAAGAGTAGTTAAGTGACTTGCCTGGGGCACACGGCTAGTAAATATCTGAAGCCCATTTGAACTGAGGTCTTCTTTACTCCAAGCTTGGCACTCTACCCACTGCTCCACTTAGCTGCCAGTTAATTAGAACTTTGTTATATATGGGTCTGGTTGCCTTGTGGTTCTATGGGTCTTAACAAGAATAATGTGCCAGGCACTGGGCTCAGTGTCAGGGATACAAAAGATGGTGCCAGCCCTCAAGGATCTTACATTCTAAAGGAGATAACACAGTGAAAAGTGTGTATACACACACACATACATGTATATACACAAATATAGTAAAAATGGGAGGTAATCTCAGACAGATGCCATAGGAGTGTCTGAGGGGAGGAAAGGGACTGGGAAAGGCTTCCTGCACAAAGAGGACCTTGACTTGAGTCTTGAAAGATGCCAGGGATACCAAGAGATGGACATGAGGAGGAAGAGCACTCCAGGCATGATGGATAGCCAAGGCAAAAGCAAGCAACTGGGAAGTGATGTACTATATTTGAGAACACCAAGAAAGACAGTGTCTCCACCCCGCAGAGTTGCAGAAAAGAGTGACTATAAAAGGACTGGAAAGGGAAGATGGAGGTTGTAAAATGATTTAAATGCCCAAACAGAAGATGTTTTACTTGATCCTAGAGATGATGGGGCCACTGGAATTTCTGGAATGGACGGGAAGAGTGACACAGTCAGATGTGTGCTTTAGGAAAATCATTTTAGGGGCAGCTAGGTGGCACAGTGCATAGAGAACCGGCCCTTAAGTCAGGAAAACCTGAGTTCAAATCCGGCCTCAGACACATAACACTCACTAGCTGTGTGACTCTGGGCAAGACACTTAACCCCAACTGCCTCACCAAAAAAAAATCATCTTGATGGCCAAGTGGAGGATGCAGTGGATCGGCGAGAGAATTGGGGTGAAGAGCCCAATGAAAAAGCTAATGGAGCCACCCAGGAGAAAGGGGACAAGGGCCTGCACTGAGGGGCAGCTGCGTGAGTGGAGAGAACGGGAGGGACATGACAGTGGTGAAGGTGACAAGCCTGAATATGGGATCACCACAAGTGGGGAGTCAAGGATGAGAACGAAGTTTCCAGCCTGAGCAACTGAGGGAATAGCGGTGCCCTTCACAGTAAGAGGGCGCTCTGGAAGAGGGGAGGGTGTGGGACCAAGACAGTGAGATCTATTCTGGACACAGTGAGTCTGAGTTGCCATCCAGTCTGCGGTGCCCAAGAGGCAGATTGATGATGCTCCATCAGAGCTCGGGGAGAGACTAGGGCTGGGCACATGGATCTGGGAATCATCTCATGTTCTCCAGACTCCCCCCCCCCATTCCAGGCTCTAAGGTCTGACATTCATTCAATGGGCATTTAACAAGTCCCAGGCAGGAAAGTATATACAAAGAGAAAAACAAAACCATCCCTAGCCTCAGGGAGTTAACAGGCAGCTCAGGCAATCTCAGTTCTAAGGTCCCAATTCATTTACCTGGTAACATTTCAGGTCACCTTCAAATCTCCCCTAGGCTCTAGCCCTTTAGAGCCAGGAGATCCCACCAAAATACATTCACACCTGGAAGCCTGAAGGCAAGACATATATGTTAGGGTGCATACACACAAACACACTCTCTGGCTAAAGGGCCTCAATACTCCACACACAACCTTGTTGCAAGATGAGAAGGTTGGTAAACATTCACCAGCACACCACTGTGTGTTCTGTTCCTGTCGTGTCCCCCTCCCACCCCCCCACCTCCATTTTTTCCCCCTGCACATCTCCTTCTACAGCCATCCTGGTCTCTGGTGCTCTACCCATCATAGAACCATACATATCAGAGGAGACCTCGGAAACAATCCAATCCCCACACCACCACTTCCACTCCCCACTTCTTTCTTGAATGCCTCTCATCACTTTCCATAGATAAGGAAACTGACACTATAGAAGGGAAACAAGCATTTAAATCAGAAGCCTCATCTTCCTGAATTCCAATCCAGCCTCAGACATTTACTAGCTGTGTGAGCCTGGCCAAGTCACTTCACCCTGTTTGCCTCA